AAACTTATGGTTATGTTCTTAACAAGCTGCGCTGTCGACTTATTTTAGCTTTGGAAATTCGGACATTCACAGACTAAAACCGAAGCGCTATTAAACTTCACGGCTTTTTCATCTGTGGACGGTGGTTCGTGACCGAACAGAATTTTAATATTCCTACTATTAGTCTGTCATAAAAATCATAAACCTTGAGTAAAAAATTAATGGTCGTTAACCACACGGAAACTGCAAATGCCTAAGTATTGTATTTCTTCGTAGGGAAAACATTTATTGATCAGGAAAATCCCACGACTAATTAATAATAGTGTGTATGACAATTGACAGATATGGTATTCAGATGTTAAGAAGTACGACGATATTTATTTTTATGAATCTTTGTAGAGTATTTGAGATATATATATAATAGTACAGGATTTAACCAAATATCTTTTAAATAGGTATAAAGAATTGTAATAATAAGTATAATAATTGTGTAAGGATTTCACGGCCATCGTTCGTATCATTGTTTTTCGGGCTATCCAGCCGACGTGAGCGAGAAGAGGTTCTCGACGAAGAATTAATTCTTCGAGCAATCGAGGAACTTACGTCTCCTGGTGATGCCGCTCGTGATGGCGAAACATAGCGAACCTTTACTCGCTCACGTCGGCCGAACAGCCCGAAAAACAATGATATGTTAAGTATCTTATTAGTAATAATAAGAATGTTAATAAATTAGAAGAATTAAAAAATTCTTGTAAAGGCATACACAAACTCGTAGAGTAAAATATAGGAAATTGTGTTCTATGCTAAGGTGTATTATTAATTTAACATTATTTCTCGTTCCCGATCTAATTAACCAACCGTCCCGTGTTTTCCGCGTCTTCTCAGAAATCGAGGCGAGTAGCGTGCAACTTAATTAACAAGTTTAAATATCGTAATCGTTTCGATGTAAACAGATAGGATAGGCGGAAAATCATTACACATCCAGTAACGTACATGTAATTGGCGATACAAAGATTTTAACTAGCGCCTCAAATGTCTAAGATTTATGCCAGCATGGACAATAATTGACCAATAGTCGATGTTTTCAAACGGAACTTCTTTTAGGAATATTCCCAGATGATATTATTAGGAAACCATTTATGTCTTTTATAATCTGGAACCATAAACATTATCTCTATATTTGACAAAAAACTCGCTTTAACCTATCAATAATTAGTTTGACTTTTGGAGAAATCTTATTTCTGAAAAAAAAAATCTAGTACTACATTGAGGAAGGCAAATTGTGTGTTCTGCTCTTGTTAACCATTCATCCAAACATATTATTTTTTTATGTAATGATGATTTAGATCTAAAAGATTGTCGTTCTTAGACAGGTTATGCCGCTAAGGCGCGCAAGTAAACTTTGTTTCGCTAATATAACAATTTTTCACTCTTCGACGAGGAAGGCTCAACATTATTGATGACGTCATCATCCATGGTTGCGAAACCATTTCTGACTTACGACGCCGGAACCATACAAAAAAATCAGGCTTTGTAAAATGGCCGCGACAGCCTCATACGATTTCTACTGCGTGTTTGGTTTTATAATTATCACAAATTCCGTTACCCCAGGTGGGGAATGGGGTGAACACATTTTGTGTGCGTTTCACTGATAATCATCGATCAGTAACAGGCAAGTAGTTGGGCAGACTACCGAAAAAAATATTGTTATCCCGGGATTCTGACCCAGGACCTTTCGCACTAAGCAACACGTTTAAACATTAAGCTACGAGAGGGTTTAGGTCTACACAGGTAGTATTTTTATTGGTATAGTTTTATATTCTATGTCTATATATAGTAAATAACATTTGCTATTATGCTCAGCAGATGTCGTTGTGTGCAGGCTTGTAAGAAAAATTCCTGTCATGCATAAACATCCTGGAGGGGACTTTTTATAAGCCGTATTGAATATAACAGATATGCTAATATTCTAAATAGATATCGCAACAACCTCAGACTACAATATTAGAACACTAACCCCGAGAATTATCTTTCCATATCTTTAACTCCCTTTGAATATCAACAGCGTTTCCAAACACGTTTAGAATAAATTGTAAAAGGCTTTCGCGGCCATTTTGTAAGATGGCGTTTGGGCATGCTTATGTTTGTTGTTAACTTTGTCGTCCAAGAATTTAAAGATTATTTTGTGAACGATAGAGAAGCCCTAAATAATTTCATGACACGAGTATTATTTACAAGCAACTTAACCGCATAGTTAACATTCATTTATATTGGCAAGCTTTGTTAATGGTGCGAAAGATTACCAATTTATTAAATAAAAAACCACATTGACGGTTCAAAACTCGTCATAGTTTACCTTATTTACAAATTATTTTAATTGCAGTCCGACGTTTCGTCTAAATCATTGTTATTACGTTTAGCTAATATAATTCTCATTTTAAACCGTTAAAGTATTTCATTAAAACGCGTACCTACTACTCGCCGACACACGACTACAGACCGAACTTAATAACTAAAATTTATTTTGTCTAAAAAACTTGTCCCAGATATTTTATAAATTGAAACAGCAGAGTATCACCACGAACCGTTGATAACCCATACATGTTACAAGACCAATGAGCCAGTCGTAAATAGACACCAAATACAAATGATGAGAAAGTAGGTTCGTAACTGTTCGATAACCGCACGTTTGTTTGGCCCAGTAATTTGTGCCGCTCGATCCAGCTTCGATAAATTACAAGTTCGCGGCCGTAATGCGTCGTAGGCGACTAATATCCCCAAGTACCGTATTGCCAGCTTAATTATAAGCGGCTCGTTGACGCCCACTGCCGAGTTAATTTTTAACCGAGCACAAGGCCATAAGAAGTGCGTTCTATTTCATAACTACGATGACGAAACCTAATCACACAGTAGACATATCGATGTGCAATGCATAGTTCTTAGAGGAACTGAGCAAGACTAGAAATACGAAATGTTTTAGTGTATGGTAGAAAGAAATCCTCTCGAAAGAGTACGCCACCATACCACTAGTTAGTCTTACATAGTTGTACCAATAGTTATTCGCATTACTAAAGTAAACTCTATACTTTTTTCGTTTAAACAAGTAAAAATAAAAACTAGTTTCGGTCAATCAATGACTTGCCTGTAAATACAAGTGAAATGCTTAGACTGTTTAATACTTGTAATAAATAAGAGAAACGATATAATATCACACACCACTGCAACACTCAAAATTATTTTAACTTTAGTAGGCATACATAGTATATTTTTATTTAATATATATTATACACCAAGTGTCTTATTCTAGTGTATTAGTATTTCAGAAGTTATTCTTGTAAAGCATAAAGTGCAATAGTATTTTATTAGTAAATCAGGACCAAATATGACTTTATAGCGAATTCTGTAAAACTTAAATGCTTCAAACAGGAATAGTTCCATTATAATATACAAAATAGTTGTTATAGCTATTATTCTCGTCTATAAAAGCAGTGTAATGAACGAGCCCCAAGCCCTCAATTTTGGTCATAACATCTGTGCACATCCATTCCAGGCCGAGCACGCCTTCTGTTACGTCGAACTTTGCTACCCTTTCTATTCATACAAGCGTTTTAAATTACATTATTGCATTAGGGAATACGTGACATTTAACCGTGCGCGAATGATTCAGTATATAAATATTGCGGCGGCGTCATTAAGTCTGACGTATTCCATCGCACAATAAGTAGAATTGATACTAGGAACTCGTTCATAAATATTATCACATACTAATTGTGACAGCTACTTCGTCTGCGAGAAATAGTTTTTTAGCATCCAAACTTAATTTTTGCAAACTTCCTCATTACCTTTATAAACTTAAGCTTTTACCCACGACGTCGATTGCGTGCTTTTTCTTGCAAGTTAATCTTAAAATGTTAATGCTTTAACTAACACAAAAATAAATTTTCAATTCGAACGAGTAGTTTCTGAGATTAGCGCGTTCAAACGAAAAAAAAACTAATCTCTAGCTTTATATATTAGTATAGTACCTCCAATGACCAAATAAGAAAAAGATTTTTCTGAAATAAGTTAGACTTAGTCTGGAAAATTTGGATAATAAATGGGAAATCGAAATTTCATTTGGTTTTCACTTACCACAGTTTAAATTCTTGAAACACAATCGCGTCTCTGTTTTAGTCTGTGGATTTGGTTATACCAAAAGTAGTCGACAGCGCATCTCGTAAGATGTTAAATGACTCCTAAAAGAGAGCCGATTCTAGAAAGAATGTGACTTCATTATTGAGATTACATATGCCTCCAATCACCACATGCATTACAGAGAATCAGCAGACGTTGCACTCCGTAATTTCACAAAGCGTAGCCAGGTAGACGAGTAAAAAAACGCATTTCTCACGATCACAAGAATAGTTAACGTAAAAAACCAGAATGCGAATCCTGTCGGTTGCATACTGCGTGCCTCATATGGACGTCTGGTGAGAATCCTCGATCCAACGAGCTAATTTCACATGCTAAATTTAGATTATAATATGTTTATCAGAAGACGCTGTTCAGAGACCTTCGCCAAGACACGAACATTGCGTAGTATGGCTTTGCAAACCGAATATTTACTTTAAAGCTATTTTATTTACATTACAGCCGCGATATTGCTACCGCCTGCGCTTTGAAAATGATAACCTTTTATCACCTACCTGTTGTGATAAGTATTCGTTTTTTATACGATATCATCTATAAATTTTATCATTCTTAACACTTTTATAAAGGCAAATATACAATACGAAATTATAATATCAATATTTTCGCCCTTGCTCTTTGTGATTGCATAATATATTATGTGAGTCTCGATTGAATAAAGCTTAATACATTCAGCGGAGAATAACCCTATCCACCATACATCAGAAGCAGGTTCCTTTGAATTATTTATAAGACAATTTCATGATTAAACCTCCAGACGTTTAAAAGGGCAATACATTTGTTACAGAGTGCAAAGGATGGAGCTAATAAGAAGAATTATTTACTAATCCAACATGGCCGTCGTTCGCGCGGTCCTGGTCCTCTTAGCGTCCACTGCACAAGCGTGGATGCCTGATGCAAATGCCCGAATCCATGTCAAATATGGTAAGTTGAAGTTGCTTGAGCCCATCATTATATGGATAACTTGTCCTTATCAAATATAGTCATCGAGTATACTTTTATTATCCAGCAGTACTAGTTTCCTTATTTATTTATAGTCCTTTAAAAAAATATAGACTGTAAAACAAATAGTAATGTTTACTAAATGTAAACTATGTAAACCAAATTTATGTGGTTACACAAAATAAATAATATATGGCTTAAAAGCCGTTGAATAAATTAATGGTTTTCAATATTATTCGGGCTAAATAAAAATAGTTTATTTTAGTGCTTTCGTTTATATATTTTTCACGGGAAAATCCTTCTCTTAGTCAGTTTAGTCTACAGACTATATCAAATACCATAGTCACAACTACAAAACTATTTAATCTCTATGTCTTAACGCAACTTGTATATATAATCTATATTGCGAATGAAGCAAGCGTGAAAACGTTTGAACTAGAATATAAATTGACATGTGAGAACTACTACGCGATTGTTACGAAATCGAAATCTTTCATTGTTCTTTATCGCTGCACAATAGAACCTTTGTTATTGTCGAGACGTGGATAACTAAGGTTTTTAACCTATATAATCGCAGATTGCACTCATCAAAGTATCATTGATTCTATTTGATATTCAGATATTGTAACGATCTTTTTGTAGTTAGTCGGTATCAAATAAACATATAGTACATCTTATTTTACTGTAAATATAAAGCCATTTTAAATAATGGAAGGTAAAATACCTTAGCCATATAATGTTTAAACAAGGTGCGATGTCGATCTATTTTGGGTTTGCATATTTGGTAACCAACACCAAAAGCAAGAAAACCGTGGACTAAAGCAGTTACTTAAAAATTCGATATAGGTTACATAACTAACTGTTACCAATCTGCATCAATATTTGAATCCAAACTCAAACAGGGCTTGACTAAAGAGTAATAAACTATGCGTGCCAAATGCGGCGTTTATTGGCAACCCTAAGCGAATGCAATACTGTAACTGAATCCAAATAACATGGTTAAACGGGCAGGCCAAGTGCACACATGGTGTATTAACTCGTTCATTTGCTTAGCAAATAATTCATAAACCTTACGAAGGTGTTTTAGTGGCTCACCCGCTAAAGTTATAAATTACTTTGTTGCAGGCGACGAAACTTCTGAGCAGTTCGCGGGAAACGCGACAGGGCCGAATCACTTCCGCATTTTAGATAAAGATGACTTTTCATTATTAGTCGGAGGGAGGTGAGTACATTCGAAAAAACCTTTCATTACTTACAATCGATTCTAGAATCGATTTAATAACAATCTATTCGATTCATTTCAAATCGATTTGAAAATGAGAAAACGCATTCATTTCCTTCGTTGCATTTTCAAAACCGACGCTCGAAGCTTCGATAAATATATAACGTAAGAAATCCAATAAACTTTAGCATTTTCATTGTTCCTACAAATATTTCGAATACCAATGTCTCTATAGAGAAGACTAAATATTATTATTCTTGGCGAGCAGCTGCGCCAAACCACTTTTGTGCATGTGTATTGAAATGCTCTCGTTGTTTTTACATAATTGCCTGTATCGAATGCCTTTATTGGAATTTCTATTCAGTACCTTCCGACATTACAAAATTCAATCTCAATCTGGTGGATTTTATTCTTAATCTACTCCACCTAAATGAAACATAGATTAAGGCACGAAGTAAATCAAGAATTGAGTATAATCTATACTCTAATGTCACTGGTTCATAATACTTTTAAAATAGTATTTTAATTTTCAGTCTTTTTGTACTATTTGTTACCAGGCCATAAAATATTATTTTTAAAAAAGTAACTCTCGTTTAATTTAGTTAAAAACTCTCATAAAATATTAACATTTAAGGTTTAAAACTTATTAGTTAAACTTATCTAAAACGGTTTAATTTACTAACTAAATCGTTAAACACAGTTAAAGGGTTTAATTTACAAAAAATGACAAATCACATGGATTTGTGTTTTATGTCGTTTTTCTTTCTTTACCAGAAATTTAGTATAATCTGTGGTCATAATAATTTTAAATATACTGTCCTAATTTTTAATATTTTGTATGCTTAAAATACTTGTTACCAATCCATTAAAAAATAATTTCTAATACTTGTATACATTTAGATAGCTTCAATTAAAAATATTACAGGTCTGTGATTTGTGATTAATGTCGTTCTTTCTTTCTTGCGCAGGAGTACAGTCTACAATCTCAGCTTATATGATCTCTCAGAGAATATTGACCAGGTTAGTAAAGTTTTAATTTATATAACAATGAAAATTGTTGAACCAGGAACTTACCCACATTTCATCTTAACATAGTTATTTGAGAGCTCGAAGCCTAACATTAATTTTCCTCAGTTCGCAATCTAGGTGACAAGTAAAGCCGGCACTTAGCTGCTGGTTTGTGTCTCTAATCTTGTGCAAATACGAACAACTCTGTATCCTGATATTATTCAGTCTATTCTCTCGCCTCCGCTCCAGTTATATTAGCTTTCTTAGTGAGAACAGATAATAATTGACATTTATATGGTATATGATATAATACACGCCAAAACCATTAATACAATTCTAAATTGACTATGTAGGAAGTAAATTTTTAACATCGCAAGCTACACAACATACCTATAAAACGAAATAAATATGAACTGAAGATTTAGTAAACAAAGGAAAAAATACGTGCACTTTTAATGGTTTATGTTACGTAAGCCGTTATCTTGGAGAGCTAATATTTTAACGTTTTAAACTGTTAAAAGTATTTTATTTTTATGTATACTACTGCATAGAAGCAATATACTTCTTCAGAGTTATAATTTCTTGTAAAGCAAGTTAATAGAATAGAACCTTGCTCGGCCTTTATCGGGTCATGGGACCTGAAACTCAATTTCAGTAAATCCATAGATGGACAACGGTCCCATATATAAGAATATACATACATATACTATGTTACGAGTACATTACTGCACATTCACGAATTTGCAAAAAAAAACACTTATTAAAAATATTGCTTAGTCGCAAGAACTATGTGTCTGTTGCAACAAGTCGATTTCGAAATGCACATTACGCACAACCAATGTGCTGTAAGGCGTACAATTATAATATAATAAGACATTCCAAAGCGTAGTTACGTATCGACATAATACGATAAACAACGCATGCAATAAATACGAGGTACGTCCTATGTATTGTATAGAGGCTCTTGAGAGGGCACCGACCCTGAAAATGAACGTTTAACCTATTACTTTCCCACTGCTGGGCGGGGATCTCTCACCACACCATTGAGACTTTGTGGACGGTTTGAACGACCTGCTAAATCTACTAATATATAAAGCTAAACAGTTTGTTTGTTTGAACACGGTAATATCAGGGATGATGGAAAAAAAAAAAAAAAATTTTTTTTTTTTTTTTTCCCCGGGGGAAAAAGGGGGGGAAAAAAAGGAAAAAGAGGAGAAAACGTGCTTTCATTATCTTGTTCGTTGTGTAATTCCGAAACAATCCAAATTATCTTGCAAGAACGATTATAAGCGGTCCACAAGTGTCTGCGACCGTTTATACGTCATTTTTAAGCTTGGGTACGACAGCACGCGACCGACGTGCGTCGGCTTAAATTTATAAAGACAAAGAGGAAGACTTGCAAAAAAAATAAGTCGCTGATATAGCTAGTTAGTGATAACCGGGACATTTCACCTGAACTGGGACCTCGTAGTCTACTGTCGACTCCACGACAGTTATATAATTACTATCTATATTGGTTTCGGTCAAGCAGGGCACAGAAGTATTCACTGTATGCCTGTAAATATAATCAATCAGTGAAACAGACGCACAAATGAGTCGAATCGCCCCATGGCCCACAGAGTAAATCGGAATTCCACTTTGTCTAAAAGAGACGCGATATCACCATCGTGCGCAATGATTTGATGGAAATACCCCAGTCACGTTATAAACCCATGATTGATGCACACGCGATGAATCTGCCCAGCCATTCTAATCCGTTTGTCGCAATACTTGTTATATTGGAATTTCTATATAAACAGCAATTCACAGTACATTATTAGTTATAAACTGTTCTTTACGAACCTTGAACGTTCTACGAATTACGATAAGAGAAAATTATTAGTAGATTCTGCACAGATTGTGAAACTAATAATTAAGAAATTATCTATTTATTAACGTAATGACAAGCTACATGGCTTTCCAAAAAGTATAAAAACACTATTTTAAACTTTGTGCTAAAGGGCGTATAATTTAGAAAGCATGGCTTGCTGGTTTTCAGTCTGTCACTCAGATTAAAATTAATTTAGCAATATTAAAAACGCTCCGCAAATATTGTCGGTCGTGCATAGTCTAAATCAATAGTCATTTCTTCATGTAGGTGGGACAAATTAGAAACGTCAATATGGTTAAATAAAAACATACAAATAGACAAGGCAACGATAACAAAAGTACATGTTACATGCCGTGAGCATGTGATCAGTACCCAGCTTAACAAATCCTCAAGGCTTTACTCTAAGATCAAAAAAGTCATAAAATTTAGATTGTCAAATTGTTTAAGAGACATCTCTAATAACAGGACTGCCTGGCAGTGATATGAATTGCTCCTTAGGTCATTTAGTCACAAAAATGTATTAGTTTGTAAGACATGTTGAAAAAAGCCAGACCGAGTTTCTTGGGTGTTCTTCTCGGTTATGTTGCTCTTTTGAACACACTGTAGAATCACGACGAACGGACATACAAACATATTATTTAATATATTTTTGACGAATCTAAATAATTTTTATAATTTTACAGAGAATAAAGAAAATATTATTTCATTTTAATAAGATTATTAACGCATTACCTTAATACCTAATCGACTAACATTACAACACACCCAACAAAAAGAAAAACTTTAATTTCAAACTCCATTTTAATATTCAACAAAAGCAGCAGTTTCGTGTCAAGCTTTAATAACGAAAACGGGGCCTACATAATTTAATTTACTCGCGTAATCCACGCGAAAATTAGCCTTTTTATTTGAACCGTGGACTGCTTTTTAAATTATTAATGTTTTCATTTGCAGCGGTTGGAATGGCAGTCGACCGACGCCCACAGAGAACTATGCCAGTTGAAGGGGAAATCGGCAGACGAGTGCCAGAATTATCTACGTGTCGCCGCCAGGAACCAAGGACGTCTCCTCGTCTGCGGGACCAATGCTTTTAAACCGATGTGTCGCCGTTACGCGCGCCATCCGCCCAACCACCACTTGGAAGAGTTTGATGGAACCGGCCGCTGTCCGTACAGTCCCCAGCATAATTCCACTGCCATTTTCACAGGTACCAGAGGTTCATGTCTTTCAAACAAAATAAATATAAAGTACAATGAGATGAACGAAAAGATTTACAATGTTTAATTCCGACTTAGATTGTAGCTTGACATGATGGCTTTCGGCCTATTTTTTTTTGAGATAACAATTATATTTGGGGTTTAATCCCCAAATATGAAACAGTTTAGAAATACAGTAGAACGAAAATCGAATTATATAATTGTAACATATTTGAGTTACTTGTTTATTTTTCAAAGCATCCGAACGTCGGGCCGGTAGATAAAAATAACTTGTCAACAAGTGTATCTGATATATTTCGCGTTTTAAACCGTTAAAGTGTTTTATTTCAAATTGTCCTACTCGCGCATACTTCAGACAGTGTTCAACTTAAAAATCAGACTCCGTAGCTCAACTGGTTAGAGCAACAGCACGGTACGCTGACTATGCCAGTTCAAGTCCTGCCCGAGTCAAAATTTTTTTTTATTAATTTTAATTTGTTATAGATAAAATATTTTACAATTGCTTCACAAAGTATTTTATTTTTTATGTGATGTTAGAGTATGACTAACATGAAATATTTTTCAGATGGTCAGCTATATACAGCAACGGCTGCAGACTTCTCAGGCACTGATCCTCTAATATACAGAGAGCCTGTACGCACTGAACATTCGGACTTGAGATTGTTAAACGACCCTTCCTTCGTTGGAGCCGTGGCTTCCACCAGCCACGTCTACTTCTTCTATCGAGAAACAGCTGTTGAATATATGAATTGTGGGAAGGTAAGCTATGACTACATTTATACATTTAAATTTATTGTGATAGGCCACACCCTGGCTTATCACAATAAAATTAAATGTACAGTTAATGTTAATAAAACTATATCCAAAGATAAAACCTTTACTAACCGTTTCAGTTTTTAAATGAAGTAGATGGTGTAAAAAATTATAATACGCACTTCGCATAGAATAGTTTTTCGGTTGTCAATAATTCTAGTATCTGTACCTAGAACTTGATGATTTTATCAATTCAGAAATTACTGTTGCCTAACTACTTGACCAATTATAATGATTATTTTTTAATGTGTACTTTTTTATCCGCATTCTATTAAGTATGATGAGTCTGCAGGCACAACATATAACTATTTATAGTTTAAACATATTGGATGATAAAACAATATTTTTTTCCAGGCTGTATATTCAAGAGTAGCGAGAGTGTGTTTAAACGATAAAGGTGGACCACACACGTTCAGCGATAGATGGACATCATTTCTTAAAACCCGTTTGAACTGCTCCATTCCCGGAGAATATCCCTTCTACTTTGATGAAATACGTGAGTTTCAAAATTGAATACTTTATTATATTCTGCGCGAGAGCATGTATTGGGTTTAAAAAATTTGACGATGACGTGTTGGTGCTGTAACTCAATTGGTTACAGCAGCAGGACGGATCGCAGTGGAAGTCAATACAAGTCCCCCTTCAAAGATTTTTCAATCTAAACAAATTTGTTTTTTAATTTTTTAATGGGCTTATATACCGGAAGCAGAAACATAATTTTTATTGGTTTTTAAACTTAAGGACTATCAATCTTTCTTTTTCACATGTGACAATACAGTATATGTGTGTATTTTCCGCCTACAGAGGCAACCACAGAGATCATTAACGGAATTTACGGCAACGGCGGCAACAGAAACGACATCGTGTACGCCGTTTTCACAACGCCCCAAAACGCGATAGGAGGGTCGGCGGTGTGCGCATTCGCTATGAGGGACATTCTGGACGCCTTCGAAGGGTCATTCAAAGGTCAAGAGAGTATGAACTCGAACTGGCTGCAGTTGGAAAAGGAGAAAGTGCCGCAACCACAACCCGGGTCTTGCGTCGAGGACAGTCGAACGCTATCTGACTCCGCTGTGAACTTTATCAAAACCCATCCTCTAATGGACAGAGCTGTACCCTCGTTTCTGGCTAGACCGATCCTCATACGCGTGAGCCTTCAGTACAGATTCTCCGCTATAGCAATACACCCACAAGTCCAATCGATGAACGGAAATAAGTACGACGTTATGTATGTCGGTACAGACGACGGTAGAGTTATAAAAGCGGTCAATGTGGCGTCTAATGAAGGGGTGTTCGATGCTAGTGTGGATGAGTATAGCAGGAACCCAGTGAGGACCGCTGTCATTTCTGAAGTGCAAGTGTTACCCCCCGGCGTCCCTATTAGGCAAATGCACGTCGCTCTGACTACGGAGAAACTAATTGTTGCGTCCGGTGACATTATTAGAGCAGTTACACTATCGCATTGTGCAAATGTACTATCGTGCAGGTGAGGGTAGTTTTATTTTCAATTATGATAAAATATTAATCACTTTTGCGTACGCCATTATCTTAATAAATACCAATGAATATGTTAAACAAGTAGTCAAATCTTTTAGGATAATTTAATGGAAAAATTGGGAAACATGGCCGCGTCAACCGATTTGGCCTTATTTTCTAATCATTTGATTAAAAGTGTTGTATAGTTAAACACGAGAGGTTCTGGGTTTGAATCCCAGGGACACAATAGATTGTGTTATTCTGGCATGGCACAGAAGTTTGATCAACTACTTGCCTGCAAAAGAACAGATTAGTGAAACAGGCACAGAAATGTGTTCGTCCATATCCCAAGGAAACGAGAGTTCACTTTTTTATGGAAACATTGTCTTAACATGCTTTGATATAGTAAAAAAATATTTTCATGATTGTTATCTTACCCGTGCTATAAATTATCATCATCATCATACTTTTTGATGATCTTCACGAGCACTATAAATGGCTTTGCAGGACAAAGTATTTCTGAATAGAGATAACATATAATTCAATTGATATTTATTTACAGAGAATGCGTGGCGTTACAAGATCCCCATTGTGCATGGGACTCCAAGCAGCAACAGTGCTCATGGGTCGGTAACAGACAGTTTCCAAACCCAGAAAGATTCCTACAGAATGTAGAGTACGGAAAGACTGATATATGTAATAAGCTGCCTGCCCTTTTGCCGAGTGAAAGGCACAGCAACAGAAATCCCGCCACGAAAAAGCCGACCCAATCCGAATCTAACATGCGACATAAACCAGATGACATCCAGAACGAAATATTAATAGAGGTCGTGGAAACGAACGTTCTGTCAGAGGAGAAAAATGTTAACGACAATAAACACGAAACAGGTAGAGGATACAATTATTTAATTATTTCATAAGAGCCCGCTTCTTATATAATGCAGAGCCAAAATTGGTCGACAAGTAGATTTTTAATTTATATGTTGCTATGTGTTAAACTTTTTATTACGTTTTTCCATAATGCTATACTAAAAGTAATTATGTCGTAAACAGTTTAAAATATACCAAGAGTTTAGTTCGAGTACAAAATAAGCCGACAGCGCATCTTGTTTAGATTTTTATAGCTAACTCACCGTCCATCAAGTAAATCCCATGCCCGTCTGTTCTCCTCAAAAATGAATATAAACAATTTGTCTCGCACAACATTATTATGTTTATTGTCATTTTCAATAATTTTTTACGAAACGTCGAGTCGTATTTAAAATAAATCAAAAGTAGTTTAACTTATATATTTCGCGTTTTATACCGTTAAAAATGTTATTTAAATTATTTTCAGATTTGCTAACTGTGGAAGCCGCCGAGGGTAACATTTACAGCGCACAGGCTCTGCTAACAGCGGTCGTAGCGTCTTGCTTAGTAACGCTTATGGTCGGTTTTGTCATCGGATATCTGTTTTCTCGGCGATTTCGTCACCCCTTCTTCACAGACACCTCGCCTTTCAACGAACAGCACAACCACTTGAACCGGTACGTTGAAAACAAGTCTTAAAATTTATTTTATTTTTATTATTTATTATTACTCTTATTACTTGCTTATAGTAGATCGAATAAGAATGTTCTAAATAAATCGAGCACGCATTTTAATTAGATGTCCATGTGGCTGGGTTCAACAGCGCATCAAGGGGGGGGGGGGGGTGTCATGACCCCCTACTAAGATTTGATGGACCACTAATTGAACATATTGATTGTATTTACAAATTGTTGTGTTAAATTCTTTAAGTAAAGTACAATAAAGAATGAATATTTTCAAGTACAGTAAATTTACGTTCTTACATTAATAAAATACCCACCTTTACTTGTATCTATTGTTCATCAATTTAATTACGTACGTACGTAAGTACTTGACTTGACCACAACTATGTGACTTCCTCCTGGCGCCAAAGCTGGATCCGCCCTTAGCTGCAATATTTCCGTCTTGCCTCCAGTGCAGTGTTTAACGTTTCTATTCTCTTCTGTTCTAGATTGAATCCGCTAGAGACGCCGCTAAATGTGAACTCAGGTTACATGCCGCCGAGATCAAAAAACGTGAATATGGTAGCCAACGTCTGCCCACTCGCAAAGCAAGACAACCTACACATCGAACTTGGAAAAGAGCGAGCCCTAGATCTCCGAAATTCCACAGAGTCCCTCGACAAGGATCTTAAGTGCGGCACTTTGCAAAAAGTTAAAAAGACATACATATGAAATATACCCCAGAAGACAATGTACGGAACTATATCAAAGTGATTGTAATTGTCAGTGTGCCAAGTCTTCCGAGATCGGTTCGGACGTGAAACGGTGTATCGTGGTGATAAGACTTTCTCATGTAAATAATGAATATTTTTACTATTGTACAGTAGCTAGAAATATGGTAGTCAAATAATGCTGCATTGACAAGGATAAGATAACATGCAGCTGAAAAAACAGTGGTCCATTAGGAAATTATTCAATAAATTTTCTCAATCAGTCTAATTTTAAGTGCATTCTGAACTTTGTGTAGACGAACTAGAATTTTGGTTCTCTTCAGTATTAAGTATGTTCTTAAACAATATGATTGTAACATTCCACATTATAATAATACGTAGACATAATTTCGCTGCGCAGCTATTTTTGTAAATAAAGATATGTATATAATGATAAAAAGTTATAGCATTTAGATACATAGGACTTCAAGTTAAGAGGGTTTAGAAAAGAAGTAGTTCAAATATAAAGCAAATTAATGAGGTTCCATCTAATGATGATCCAATAAGCTGTAAGCGTCGCATGTAATTAAGATCAATTTATTTCATAAAAATATGTTATTGTTATAATAAATGAAATTACTGTGCTAATTGCATAGTGCCTTGTAGGTTGCCAATTTAGTGCCTAATATATTTTAGGATGCATTAAATGAATATATGTTTAGACCCCTGTTAATATGTTTTAAAGTTTGTGAAGCTTATAAGCTGTCATTAGAAGTCCTCATGGTTTTTAATCTGTATTTATTCACATACTTAACATATAGCGTTTCCTAATAATCTTCAATAAGTTTTCCCATCTATTGTAGTCCCTGCTTAAGAGTGGGCCTCGATTTTAAATATTTTGGTATTCATAGTATGAAAATGTATTTTATTATTAAGGAATAAAGGCTAAAATGACACTATACCACCTGAAAAATCAGAGATCTATTAAAATGAAGTATTCCCACCGTAAATCTATCAAAGGTATATAGGTAATATATACAAAATTTGTTTTTGACTTGCATTGCAAAGATTTTTTTAATAGATATTATTGTTTAGATTTTATTATTAGAATGGTCATTTTAAAAATTAAAGATTCTTTTTTAAGAAATTTACTGTACCGTGTGGTTTTATCATTTGAAAAAGAAACACATTTTTATGATTTGAAATGACTACTTACTCCAAGAATATGTATTATTTATATTCTTTGTATTAAAGAAATCAATTTAAAGTGATGACTGAATTTCATTTGGTTAAGGTATTTCAGCATGGTTTGAAACTTTATACTGGGCACAAAAACACCCAGCCTAACGAAATTTCGTGAAATTGTTTAGATGGAGGGCACAGAATATCCATATAAAAATTGGATTTCATTATTAAGGAAATTAAGATAAAAATAAAGTAAATAATCAGTTGTTTAGGAACTATCCATATAATTTATGTAATGGCAAAGAAACTGACGTTTGTCCTCCGCCGATTTTACTATGCTCGGATTAATAGTGACTCCATCATCATTAATTACAGCCTCCTTCTTTAAGTAACTACTGCCCTCATGCAATAGTACAAAATTATGTAACACACAAGCGGCACAAATCAATGAATTTATGGCTTCTGGTTTATTTATGTCAATGGAGTCAAGTTTTTTGAATCTGTCTTTTAAGATCTCAAAAGCATGGTCAATGTAAGTGCATGCTTTCCTATGAATTTCATTAAACTTCAATTCCTCACTTGTTAATGAGTTGTCACTTGTAAACGGAGTAATCAAGTTCTTTCTCAATTTATATTCAGAGTTTCCTAATATGTGATTATCAAAGTCTATAAAATTTTTGATTTCGTGTGCTAACTGACTCTCACGATAGACTCGATTTTTGTGAGTGTTACCAACTTCACCAATATGGATGTCAAAGAACATTAGGGTTTCATCACATACAGCTTGTAATAGCATGATATCTGACTTCTCTTTCCGTGTATTTTTAGGTTTGATCTTCAGACGACAAGCATTGATGAATCCAACACAGTTTGGAAATCCATATCTGCTATTCACTTTGATCCTTGTTACATGTTGCTCTTCCAAGGATGGCCAATTTATAAAATGATACTTTTGCTCTGACAACAATGTAGCAAATTCATGGAAAATATAACTTACAGATGACTTATGTAAGCCAAATAACTCAGCAACAGCACTAAACGATGAGTCACTGGTGAGAAGCCAAAGGAATATATGCACTTTTTTGTCTAATGGAATAACTGATGAACATGGCTTCATGTACTCTTGGAGGTGATCAATTAGTGCCTGTAAAAAATATTAATATATATAAATGATTTTGTAATTAATTTTAGATTAACTGTCTATCACTTATCTATTTTATAAACAATATGTTGATTAGAACATTGGATATAATTATGCCGGAGTTTTTTAAAGGCAGTACCTCTCCTACTTAACACATACACTGGCAATTCAACTTTGAGCCACAGAGGCGGGAAATCCTAATTAAGAAAAATTGAATTGTATTTAAAATAATTACTTTAACAGTTGTCTTCTTCATCTTGAATTTTGACACATATAATTCTTCTGTGTACTTCGCAACTACATTTTCATAGAAGTTATTTCTTGAATGTAAATTCTGAGTGTTTTTGACTAATTCCTTGCTCTCAATAGTTAAGAATTGATTCACGTTTTCTTTCATTATTACTTCATTAATACATGAAATATTCTCATTGTTTTCACTCATAACATTCGCTGCAGCCACGACGCATCTATTTATATTCGAAACATTGTCGTCTAAGAACAATTCCATTATAAATTCTTTATCGAAGTTCATTATTTTCTTTAATGCACTGTTCTGGATCATTGTTATTATGTTTATAGCGGGGTATATGATAGCAAAATCAACTTTACATAAGTGTTTTAAACGTAAAGACAATTTTTTAAAACTACGATGTTTAATTGTTTACAAACAATACAATAATTATAACATAAAATGAGAAATAAAATAAAGTAATGTCAAATTTGTGATAACTGTCAATGTCACTTACAAACGTATACTATGACAATTGACATGTTATGAATGTTAAAATTCAATGTTTTTATTGAAAGTATCTCTATGTTAGAAAATTCTTTACCTCCCAATAAATAAAGTACGGTAATTATTTATTGCAGAAATTGGAAAGTTTATAAAAGAGTTTGTGACAATTAACAATAATATACTAGACTGTAACATGGCAATCTTGATTATTGTTATCTAGTGATAAATAATTAAATAATGAAACTTACAACAACGACGTGATTTCATAGGAATATGAATTTAACGTTCAAATGCCCTTTAAATGTTCTAAGAAGGTTCAAGACGGAACACTGTGATATTTAACAATGTTTTTACTAGGCATCATCATTCATGTTGTATTTCTTTTTTCTATATTCGATATATACTTTAAATCCCCAATAGTAAATAATGTACAGCCCTATAAACCAATACACGACGGCCTTGCCGATCGGCTAGTTTTATTGGTAGTAGATGGATTAAGGGCTGAATCCTTTCTGAACTATACAACAATGCCATACTTGAGGTAAACCATGTAATTTTGTTATGAAGTTATTATCGATATAGTCTCTTCTGAATTTCCGGTACTTTCAGATCAATTGCTAATACCAATGGGAGATGGGGTATTTCAAATACAAGAGTACCTACTGAGAGTCGCCCAGGCCATGTAGCTATAATTGCTGGCTTCTATGAGGATCCTTCAGCAGTTGCTAAAGGCTGGAAAGAAAATCCCGTTGACTTTGACTCTCTGTTTAATCAAAGCTCTTATACCTGGTGCTGGGGCACTTATGACATTCTAGATATATTTACAAAGGATCACAATGTAGTGGATCATATATTTGTTGAGAAGTTTGATCCCTATGACCAGACCTATAGTTCTGATAAAAATACTACACTCCTAGATGAGTGGGTATTTGTTGCCGCTAAAGAGTTTTTTGAAAAAGCACACCAAGATAAGGATTTGAAGCAAAAATTACATAGTAAAAAAGTAATATTTTTCCTTCATTTACTTGGCACTGACACCGCTGGCCATACACACAAACCTAAAACAGAGTAAGCTTCATTCTATTTCTGTATATACAATAAAAATTAGAATGAAAACCAAATATTTTAATTATAAAACTTATTTCACAGAAACTTTTTAACAACTTTGAGACATGTAGATAACGGCATCAAAGATATTGAAAGAATTATAAGAGATTTTTATGATGACGATGGAAAGACAACATTTTTAATGACAGCTGATCATGGCATGACAGATTGGGGTAAAAGTATTACTTTATTTGGATTATGACGGTAATCCAAATAGGTTCCCATGCCTTTTAGAAATAACATATTATATCAAACAAATGTAGTCATCATATCATTGTCTTTTGGGCTGTTCGGCCGACGTGAGCGCGAAGAGGTTCTCGACGTTTCGCTATCACGTGTGGACAGCATCATCAGATGTTACCTCCTCAATTGCTCGTAAATTAATTCTTCAAACAATTTGACCAATCGAGGCCAAACAACCCGAAAGACAATATGTTAAACGATGGCCGTTAAAGCCTTACACAATTTATAACGTGTAGTCATATGTAGACATTGTATTACACACTTATGCTTTGGGATTTAGACATATTGTTCTAAGTGGTATATTGATTTGTTTCAGGTTCCCATGGCACTGGATATGACCATGAAACTAAAACCCCTTATGTACTTTGGGGGTCCGGGGTACAGCAAGTCCACAATGATGAAAAGCATTTAGATCCGGAAACAAAATCCATGTTTCAAGAACATAGATTGGACTTGAATCAAGCTGATTTAACACCATTGATGGCAACATTTCTCTCTATACCTGTTCCGGTCAATTCTATAGTAGGTAATTATTTCTATGTTCTTTCTATATGTTTTCACCATATAGTAACAGGAATTACTGTTTTCAGGGACATTTACAAGTTAATCTACTCAATGCCACCCAAGATATAAAGGCTAAAGCAATGTACAGCAACAGTAGGCAACTGCTGTCTCAGTACAATAAAAAGAGACACGATGTGGAGGCGAATGCTGTAACGTTTTTATATTATCCGTACAAACCTTTGGACGGGGAAAAAGTAGACGAGTTGATACATTTCACAGAGATGCTTCTACAAAACAAAGATTACGAACAATTAATACTATTTAGCGAAGAAATTATAAAGCTAAGCTTATCAGGCCTTGTATATTACCATAACTATTATCAATATCCTCTGTTAGTGACGATAACTGTTTCATTTTTGGGTTGGATTACTTACTTGTTAAGGATATTAATGGAACAATCAGTTTTCTCTCAAGTAGATGTGTCTAATAAGAAACACCAAAAATCTAGTAACATGTATAGCAATTTCGACAAGGCGATTCTAGGCATAGCTTTAGTTTTAGGAATCCTATCAAGTATTTTAATTTATGGTAAGTGTTGATTTGTCATTAATTGATTTACTGATAGACAAACATAGATGGGACTCAACCTGATGGTGAAACTGTGTTACACTGTCTTAAGATTTAGCTAGTCTCAGATCCATCTATTTGCGGGTTGCAGTCCCGTCCGTATTCAGTTTTTATGATAGAGGAAGACAGATAAGCATGGCGTGCATAATATTATAATATGGGTTGTAGGCCTATTTTTGATATTCGGAAATCCACAGATTGATACTGAAATGAGATTTAACTTCACGGCTTAAAATCTATGGACCGTTTAATGGCTGTTTTGAAACGGCTGTTTGTAATGGTGTTTGGAAACGTGTTGGTCTCGGCGGATATCGAATCCACGACTTATTATTAACCATAAAGTTTTTCTATCTACAATCTACAAATAGTTTTCTTTAGCTATCATGTGTTGACATGAAGAGTTATAAACTAAGAATCAATTTATTGTACTGCTTAATTAAAACAATTTCAACGGCTTAAATTGCGAAGTATTTTCTAACTGCGACTAGATGTTTCAAAAGCTTTTTTCATCTTTATTTTAATTGTATCACTTCTTTCAGCTCAAAACTTACCAGTCCAGTATTATATTTACTTTATATTACCAATATTTCTATGGTTTTATTCTTTGTCACCTATATCACTGTGGGTTCAGGTATTCACTGTGATCAAGCGACGAAGAAGAATTAGCAATTTGATTATACAAATGTTTTGTTATATAACCGGATCGATAGCAATTGTGAGTATTATAATTTATTATTTGAATTATTTTGACACATTTTAATAGCTTGAGTTTTTTGCTGTTTTAATCTGTATAAGAAAAAGACACAATTTTTAATAAAATGCATAACATTTTCGGCTGTCGTATTTTTTAAGTGGTTCTCGACGTATCCGCTTTGCGGATCGGAATTTGATTCCTATCGGGTATCTTAACAATTTGTAACTTATCTGAAAAATGTTAGATTTGGTCTGGACCGTCTGGTTATTTAAGCAATATTTTGAATATCAAAAAGTCCGTCCCGGTCTCTGCTGTGTATATCCGTATAACCGTGAAGTTTATATCCGTTTTGGGCTTTAGTCTGTGAAATTCAAAAGCCAAAATGGATCGACAGCACATCTTGTTTTTTTATAACAACCGCCATTCCTGTCATAAAAAGTTCTAGTCTTATATTTGGCAGGCTTGTTGGTCTAATGGTGGCAATGTTTGTCTAATATTCAACGGGGGTTCGATCCCCACCGGGTCCAAGATGTTTTCAATGTTTCAATTTTTATGAAACATTAAGACCGATGGACTTCGTCTGTAAACCTGGATATTAAATGGACATATCGAAAATTCCGTCCGGGTTCGAACCACCGTCGAGGAAAAAAGTTTATCGCGTTTAGGTTTCAGTCTGGATTAGGTTTATTTCCGAATAACTAAGTCCAAAATAGGTCGACAGCGTATATCGTGTAGTTGTTACATGGCTCGGGTATTTTGACCCCCCCCCCCCCCCCACTTGATGGGTCACCCCATTCTCGTCTGTTCTCAATCATCAAAATATATACATATATTGTTTTTATTTTAGGGTTTTTCCTTTTCCTACAGGTGGGTTCTCAGCGTACCACTCCTTGGCATGAGCATATGGCCAGCATTTTCGCGACCTAAACAAGGAAAGCACACTTTGCTGTATGTGGCGTGGCCAATCGGATGTCTAATATTGAGCATTTTTTCTTTGATGCCAGTAATCGGGAAGGATGTATTCATCGAATTAGTGTAAGTTTAAATGCTTTAAAAAATTGTATATTAATCTTCATGTGGGTCAGTTTAAGTACATTTATGTTCGAGTATATACTTTATCACACAAAGACAATTTTTTAAGATTGTGTCGCCGCGCGATAAGGCCGCCTTTTATTTATAAGTTAGTACGTAAGATGTTTTCTCTTTTTGTATGTGTAGTATGGGTTATAAATAATACAGTTTTAATAAATAAATAAATACCAACAATGGCGGTAGTCATTAAAGCCCGCCAACACGCGCTGGGGCTAACCTCTGAAATCCCTTTCCGATGCTAGAAGACCTATGTCCAGATGTTCGATTTTTTGTGTTACAGATTTGCCGGGGGCTTCATGTGGTTACTAGTCATGCTGTATTATGTATATTTCATCCTCTGTTCCAATTCTAATGACGATGGCAAAAGAGATATAATCCTAAGCGTTATACACATGATTTTGCTGACCGTGACATTGCAAATAATATTTGTCCAGTCTAAGAGATTTGAAAGTCGCACTGGAGTATCGCACAATTTACAAAGTCTATGTTGGGTGATAACTTGTAAGTATTCTGTGAAAAATTTAATTGCGCCTGGGCCAAAAATATATTTATTGTTTGTAACCTGGAACTAGTAACTCGCGACACAGACTTGCCCTAGTGTGGGGACTAGCGACTCTCTATCTGCACCATGTATATGGAAACAAAATAAATAATTTTTGTTTTTTCTTATTTGCTTTAAATATGTATTTTTACCAGTCTGTATCTTCAGACCCATGCATGTTGCCATTATAATAACAAATATTATTTATTTATAACGTAACAAATATTTAAAGTGGATTCCCCCTCCATATTCATATTTTTTTGTGAGACTTTTGTTAAAGTTCTCTCACTTTTAATCTATATCAATAAAAAAAATGCTTAGAACAATGTACGGAACCCTTTGAAAGCAATACCGACTCGCTTTTCGTAGTTTGAAAAACGATTATTTACCAATTTCTCGTAAAATCAACTTCTCCATATTGAGAAATTTAAACATAGGATATTATGTATATATATTATTTATTATTAAGCAAAATTGTGATATATTTTAGACGGTTGGGTCTAAAATAGCATTTCTCTTATTAATTATATGTTTTCAGTTCTACTTCCAATCCTCCCTCTGCTGTACACAAGGAGAATGAACAATCGCATTCTGGGCATCAATTCATCAACGATCATATTTTATTTAATGATGTCCGTTGCTCATGAAGGACTCTTTATTGTGGCACTAATATTTAGTATAACTTGCTGGATGTATTTAGAATTTAAATTGCTCGACGTAGGTAATAATGAGGTAAGTCCGTTGTATGTGTGCTGTATAGATACTGTGTTTTTGGTCGAAATGCTGACAGACATGCTTGGGGATCTCTTGATGGTAAGTGAAATTCCCAGACAAAGGACATGTAAGCAAGATGCGCTGTCGACCTGTTTTGGCTTTGGATATTCGGAAATCCACAGACTGAAACCGAAACGCGATTAAACTTCGCGGCTTTTTCATCTAGTGGATGATGACCCGGAGGGAATTTCCATATTTATACCATCCATTTAATATCCAGATTTCCAGTCGATGTGCAACATGTTACAAAATCTATAAGTAAGTCAGACCCGGTGGGTACGAATCTACGACCCATCGATTATTAACCATACATTACTACCATTACACCAACGAGGCCCGTTAAAACCTGTTCTATAAATAGACAATTTGTTATATAAAAGATGTTTATTGTGTGTACACAGATTAAAGACTGCTTCTTCAATGCTGATGAAACAAAACATATAACGCCATTTGAAAGAAGTATTAATAGCGATGACTTCCGGAGGGCATTCTTCTTTGTATCCTTTTGTGTATAAATGTTAAATTTATATGTACATTAAATTAACTCAGACATAGCAATCTTAACCTCCTGATATCTCCATGCTTAATCGCAATGCCTGTCATCGTGTGAAGAATGAGAGGTCGGGTTCGAATTTTCTTGGTCGGACGGGACAAAGAAATTTGCTTGTAAATACTTGTAAAACGGACTCAAAATAGTGTTCGTCTCGTGCTCTATAAAGGAAATAGAACTACACACTCTACACTACAAATCTTCTTTTCTGAACCAAATAAAATACATTCCTGAATCTTTATCCAGCTATTGTATATCGTTTTATCCTATTTCGGAACTGGAAATATAGACTCTCTCAATTCCTACGAAGTGCGATGGGTGCTATGTTTCACCACTTCGTTCAAACCATTTCTTATTATGACCCTCATAATTTTGAAAACTTTATCAACACAACTCAGTGTTGCTTGCTGCTTTAGAGCTATACAAAGTTTGACCAAGGTAAGAGAAGATTAGGTTTTGTGTAGACATTTAAATAAATCACTATACACGAAATATATTTTTATTAATGTGAAATGTGATATTATTTTTAATTAAATTACGGCCAAGAGTTTTGCAGCAGCCGTGGTCACAGGGGGACTGAATAGTTGCCCAATATGTATTACCAGTTCCTATTTATATTTTGTGCAAAGTAAAAAAAAATTTCCTTAACATTCAGTACAAAAATGATTCTTTAATTGTTAATATAATATTGCTTGTTCCAGGCACCCACCGGATATACCCACATAATCGTTCTTATATATTCCAATATTATGGGTTTGTTGTTATTATACTGTGTAACCAATACTGGCAGTTGGCTGGAAATAGGAACGTCTATATCGCAGTTCGTCATTGTTCAAATAATAACATTAATAATCGTACTGATTAATCAACTAGCTAAAATATTAACGGATGTTGACATTACATATTTATTTAAAAACTTGTATAAAAATCGAAAGAAATATGTTTAAATTATATGTTGCGTTATTTCAATAAATTGTAAAATATCTATGGTATTATTAAATTATTACTGGCAAGTCTTTTTAGGGTAGTCTGGCGTAGGACATAAACCTAGATGTCACAAGAGGTTATGTTTATGTTATAATTTATTGCTTCGTGGAATTAGGGAAAAATATTTTTATTTTAAGGGGTTGATCTATCATGCATATATTCATAAGATATTTGGGAAAACTCTTCATAAATAAAGGCTTGATGATAAGGTATGTTTGTTGGTGATATTATTTATTTATTTCAAACAATAAATTGCCCCTTTTATTAATACATTTTTCTCTCATGTCACTGATCTCCAAATTTAGTGACTATTTTGGAGGGAATATTTTAATCTACCCTACATTCATAAAACTATTAACACCACAGAGTGCACCAAAATAACGTCGGGGTATAACTGTGACTATAGGTAAAATATGTTAGGTCCGTCAAACGTCAATAATTATTAATGTCAGCTAATAATTATTATTTACTGTAGGTTTTAGTATTTATGTAGTAAGAAAATTGTTCTGAATTTTTCAATTAAACAAGGTTGTGTTCTACTAAATGACAAGGAAAATAAGCATGTTGTGCTATTCTTAAACACGTCGTGCAATATAAAAATATTGTAAGTAATAATATTTCTTAGACAGGCAAAAACACAGATCAATTCCAACCATCAAAACATTCGTCTACAACATATATTAAAGCCCAATCTCTGGGCTTTCTCAATATCGATGTCTAAAAGTAGAGAGTTTTCCTCTAACTATCGCCAAAATGAAAGGTAAGTGTAAGTTGGTTTACAAATAAAGTATAAGATACAACCATTAAGTATTTAATTTATTTTCAGCTATACCGGAGAAAAGCTTATATATCCTGCAGCAAGTCGAAATCAAGATCCTATTCTACAGGTTTTGAAAAGATTTGTTCTGTGTGACAGTGATCAAATAGATGATGAAAGCCCATCTTTTCTGGAAATAGCCTCAGGGTCTGGACAGCATTTGGCTCATTTTGCACCAAATTTTCCAGGTGTAAAGTTTCAACCCAGTGAAGTTGATTCCGACTTATTTGGAAGTATTACTTATTATGCAAATAATTGTTGCACTAAGAATATTTTGTTACCAATTTTACTAGATGTAAGAAACAATCTGTCAAGCTATGGATTTGAAGAAAGTTCTATTGATTACATGTATAGTTCAAATTTAATCCACATAAGCCCTTATGAATGTACCAAAGGGCTGTTTCAAAATGCTGGAACATACTTAAAGTCCGAAGCTCTTATGATAACATATGGACCTTACAGTAAAGATGGTGTAATAACACCTCAAAGTAATGTTGATTTTGATGCGTCTCTTAAAGCAAGAAATCCTTTATGGGGTCTTAGAGATATAACTGATCTGATAAAGCTAGGAGAGGAAAATAATTTATCTCTTATTGACACAGTTGAGATGCCTGCTAATAACTTTATTTTGATATGGAAGCGAGATTAATTCACTTCACCCTGTGAAATAAGCAGTCAGACACACAAAACATAATAACAAATTGTACTACAATAGTTGGTTCATAGCAGAATGATAATTACTTTTTAAAATTTTATAGCTGTCTCACATATGTACCTCTATTATAAATTTTATGGTGCTTTATCACTATTTTAAAGCAATTTATTGCCTTTTTATCACTCATGGCAAATGGAATTGTGATATTACGTATGTTCAAATTTGTTACGCGCTGTATTAAATGTACCTAGTACCTACTTGCATTTATATTATATTATGGACATGATGTAAATATAATGTCTACTCAAAATATTTGCCTTTTAATACTCTCTAATAGTAAGGCAGCAATATAATGAGGAAATATTTTTTTTTAAACTAAGGGCTCATATGGACTCGCCGGTTTGCCGCAATGCGGGGTTCCGTCCATCAAATCACTCACACAGCACACTGCAGTGGTTCAAGCTAAGACCTATGTACTTCTCGGGGCACCCTTGGTTTAGCTGCAAACATTCAGTTAGTATTAGTAGCCTTGGGCCAAAATCCATGATCAGTCATACGATTCCGCAATGCGGTCAGCCGCAGTCAAACATACTGTTGTACACAAGTTATATTACTATTTTCTTTTGTCTCCAAAATACCCATAGAAGGAAACTGATCAGATGGACATTTTATGTGTATTTTTACACACACTGTCATGCAGGTGCTGCTTAACCGTTTCGGTTGCTTGTAATGCTGTTTTGGCCCGAATGAAGGTAGCTATGCGCACTATATAGCGGTAGGTTGCAATCGGCTATCAGTGTCCCGGCGATTACTTTTTATAAACTTATGTTACCCTCAATGTGGCTTACACATTAAACTATTTTTAGACCATGACTTCTGTACCCTGTATGGAAACCGATATGATCGATCGAAACCGCGTTTTAATACGCACTCGCCGGTACCGGAAAGCCGAACGTATTACGCCGAGACGTCTAGTATGAATCACTCCTATTGTGGTGACTTCGTCCAGCTGTGTTTCGCAAGATGGGAGAGTAAGAGAAGTTAATTTTGGGTGCTATTTTATAATACGTTGTACATAATACAAACTTCATAATTTTAAGTTAATTTGATGCCTCACCAGTCTTTATAATAAAATCACTATTTATATCCGACACCGTTCCGGCTGACAGGAGATTGTACAAATCATCTTCTTGACATGAAATAAGTTTTTTCAATACTACATCGCAAGACATTTTGTCTTCCAAAACTTCTTCTAAAGGTAGTCCCAAAGTGGTATAAAGCCTTCTTACCTGGCCTGCACTTAACCATCCACGCTGACATGGATCGAAACTTTTAATAACAGCTTGTAAGTGTCTAAAACCGTTTATAAGATTACAAACTTAAATGTACACAATAAATTAGATACTAAATTAATCCTTTTAACCTGTTTTCATACAAAACTGGAGGTGGTCCATGACCGGCTCTAAATAGCATACAATCATCGATTAACTTTTCCAGAAATGCCACAGGCTTGTTTGGGGCATGAGATATAAGTTTTGTGAGTAAAAATCGTATTAGTTCAGGAATGCGACGGTCCCTAAGGTATTTTTCCGTTCTTGCGACAGTATTTAGTATATTTTCCTTCCGAACTGAAATTTGTTCCTGTTCAGATGGAGAAGAAGGTTCAAGGAAACATTTACAAATTGGGTGTGTTTTATACTCAAGATCATTCTCAAAGACACTCTCTTCTTCCATTATTATGCTAAGATTTTGCAACTTTTTTCAAAATTTAAGAGATTTCTAATGACAATATTTTGACGTCAGTAGCCAATTTGTCGAAGCGTTGTCCTGGGTATCTTGAAAAGTATTAATAAAATAAAACAAAGGAGGGTAGGTATAAAAATATAAATTCGTCAACTATTATCTAATTCTCAATTTTTGGTGACATTTCATGTTTATTTCATATACCACAGACTCGCGTATCTACTATCTATGCATACGCACATATACTGTGCTCATATGACCGCGTACTATATCTGTGGATAAAGTTAAATATTTTGATTTTTGTAACCGTTGTTAGGCAGTTATACGAAATTGCGCTGAAGAAAATTTGTTTTCATTTGAATAATTGTTTTTATGCCATGTGATGAGTTTGATAAATCTAGTTTAGAGCAGGAATTTGTGCTATCGAGTTGCGTCGACAGTAATTGTGAAATTTATATCAAAGAAGAATACATACGTTATACTTAATTGCATAAAATACTTTTACTTGTTTTTTAAACCTAGTTAAAACTGAAATGTTCTGTGATAAAACATAATATCAACATAAATTATGGGTAAGGATCATAACGAGACTCTCATAGGGAAAATTGACGATGGTAAGTTTCACTTTCAAATAATAGTTTTTATGTTTCGAGGGTTTTGTGCATCCAATCTTTTTTTAGGAGGAGATGCAGACATTCGTAAAACAGCACAGGAGATGGATGTTATTCGTCAAAGAACTATTGCCTATGAATACTTGTGTCGTCTCGAGGAAGCTAAAACTTGGATGGAAGCATGTTTAAAAGAAAGCCTTCCTCCGGTGACTGAATTCGAAGAATGCCTACGAAACGGTGTTTATTTAGCTAAACTTGGACATTTTATAGCACCAGATTTACTCCCTCTAAACAAAATTTATGACATTGAACAGCGTAGATATAAGGTAAATACAATATTCCATTAATTTAATGTTAATAGCAAAAGTTGTAAATCATAATAATAATTACTTACAACATATTTTTAGATAATGGGACTGCAGTTTAAGCACACTGATAATATAAATAAATTTATACAAATTTTAAAGATAACAGAACTACCTGTGGTAAGTAGTTTGATTTTTAAATTTAAAATTACTATTTAAGTTAAATATTTAACATTTTCATGAATTTCATTATGTTCTCTCATGGGCGGTTAATATTTTTAGACATTTCAACCAGAAACAACAGATATTTATGATAACAAGAATATGCCGAGAGTAATATACTGTCTGCATGCGTTGAGCTCCCATTTGTTTAAATTAGGCAAAGCCCCACTAATTACTGACGTATTTGGCAAAGCTGTCTTTACAGGTATGACTGTTATTATACATTTAACTGTCTTTGATCTTTTTACTTGTCTTTAATTGTTGATATAATTAACTTTTTAAATTTTAGATGAACAACTTGATTCTGTATCCAAGGACTTACAGAAGTGTAAACATCCACTGCCAGTTTTTCAAAAAATCAGTGGACTCCTGTCAAATAATAACAATGATAATAGTTTGAGTATGCAAAAGGCATTGCTTGAATTAAATAATGTATTGGATTCAGAAAAGCCTATAACAGCGGCTTTACTGAATCCTCAATTAAAATTAAAATATGTTCAAAATAAACTAATCAATGAGTACAAGGAGGTATTGAAAAATGCAAAGCATCAGAAAATAGAAGTAGCCCACAACCATTCACTGAACGATAGTTATGTTCCTGATGAATATGATGAGCTTTTAACAGTGGTAGAGATTCAAGGACACATTACTGCAACAAATTTTAAGTACCTATGGAAATCCTTATGTAGAGCGTGTGAAAGAAACGATGTCAACACGTTGCATAAACTTTTTACTGAGGACTATATAAAACTCAAACACTACAATTCTGAAAACCTCGATTTTTATTGTGATGTTGTTAAAGAATTAATGGAGAACAGTAAAGATGTAGATGTGGAAAGCATCACTAATTGGCACAAAATCTTTCAAAATATAGTTAACGACGGGAATAGTAAATCCCTACAGCATGATGGTCATAAAACGGCTATTGCTGATGTTAACAGAGCACTGGAAGAGGGAAACGCTAATGATTTATACAGATCTTTGACAAATCCCCAATTGGGGCTGAGATTTAAGATAAGCAAGTTTGCCTTGCCCTTGTTGTATGAAGAGATGAGATTAGAAAAATGTGAGCTGGAGAAAAATCTCAATGAGAGTGAAATTGCTGCTTCTGTATCGTATTTGACTACAATAGCTTCGGTCTCTGAAGCCGTTGAGAGGGGAGATGAGAATGCTGTTTGGAACACCTTAAATTCCAATCACATTCATTTGGAAATGCTGCGACCGCATTGTCGCCGTCGTTACTTTTCGGCCTTAGTTGCAGCTCTTGAGGTTAAGTTTCGAGAGCAGTGCGAATGCCCCCTTCTTACTCTGGAGGACATTAGAGACACTATTGAAATGGTTAATATGAAAGATGACGATAATGATGAATGTAGGTATATATGCTACCTATAGTTATATTTCAATTATTGTGACTATATTACTAATATTGTTGAAGTTATTTCTTATCCATGGAAATACGCAATGTCTTTCTGAGAAAAAGTATCTTATTTATTTATGTTCTTTTGGGGAGACTGATAGAAAGCTAGGTGATCAGTCACCACATTGTCTGTCGACCAATTCAAAAAGTACCTTACATTTTAAATTGATAGACTACATACATTTTTTTAAATCTATTTTCTATATGCCTTATAAATAATTTTGATTTTATTTCTTTTACAGTGGTCCAAGTAGTCAATAATATTAATAAAGCCGTCTGTGATGAGAACGTCGATGTATTGATAGGTCTCTTGAAGAGCCCTTGTTTAAAACTACCGATTCCTCTCCACAAGGAAGAATACCATCTCTACATGAGAACATTAAAGAAAAGACTGTTGCAAAAGGAAGCTGAAAACTTGTGGTTGGATGATATAATTCAAGCGATTGACGATGTTAATGACGAATCCATAAAAGTAAAAGAGTTCACGGAAGCCATTGTGGAATTTAATTCATCAATTTTACGTAACGACGTTAATAGTTTTTGGCATCTATTGACACATCCTCTTATATACGATTCGAGTTTACTAGAAAGTTCCTGCAGGGATATGTATTTCCAAATGTTTTCGAAGGCGCTCAAGAAAAAGGGCTGCAACATATGTCCATGGATAGTTTGCCACACAGAAGCTGGCAACACTGTTTATATAGATATGGAATCATTTACATACAGCTGGACGACACCTAAAGACTTCGTACCATATGCGCGTTATTTGACCAAAAAGGATATTCAGTCGGTAGTGGAAAAAACAAATAAGCATCACATTTATGCATACAAGCAAAAACATATTGAGAAAACTTTTATGAAATTCCAAGCGCACTGTAAAGGTTATTTGATAAGGCAGAAAGTTAGGCGGCATGAATTTTTTAAAGAGCATGTGGAGTTTATCATTAAAATACAGGCCTGGTGGAGGCAAGTTTTAATTCGCAGGAGGTATGGGACGCTTATTAGAATGAAAGCAATTGAAGCAAAGCTAAGACAAGAGCGAAAGCTTAATCCTCTAGCTTGGTATAAAGTGCAGGTTAGTACCTCAGTCTTATTCTAAATATAGCATATATATGTTACATTGCATGCTTAAAGAGCGGGTATACTTAATTTAGACTAGAATATTTATAGAACAGTAATTATACTATCCTATTACTACGTTTTTATAGTTTTGCAAATAAAGTATTTATTGTTTAGTTAGCCTGATATAAATTCTTTTTAAAAAGATATTTGTTGATCATTCTAATCATCATCTTCAAATTTCAGGAACAGAAAATAATAAAAATCCAAGCGCTATGGCGCGGTCGCCGGGCGCGGCAAGCGTTCACCTCTCTATTTCACTCTCCGAACCCGCCTCTGAAGGTCGTTAAGAAATTCATACACATGCTAGACTTCACCACCGAAGACTATGACAGAGAAATCGAACTGCAAACCTTGAAATCGGAAGTTGTTCACTCGATACGGAAGAACCAAGAGCTATCAAGACAAATAGATGATATGGACTTAAAAATCGGGTTGCTCGTTCAGAACCGAATCGCATTACAGGAGGTAGCTGCCCACGGCTTGAAACTCAACAACATGGTGAAACATAACTCTATGACGAAGTTAGCTGTTAGCAAGGACTCAAAAGGAACCCTTACGACCATCGCTTCAGCAGTCAAAGGGTTGAAATCCCTCACGAAGGAGAGTAAAAGACTGCTGGACGGTTACCAGCATTTGTTCTACGAGCTGCAGACCAACCCGACTTACCTATCGAAACTTCTGTTCTGTATTCCGCAGAACAAAACCAATTCGTTCCTACAAAATGTCGTGCTGAGTTTATACAACTTTGGCGCGTATACTAGAGACGAATACTTACTTTTGAAACTGTTCAGGTTCACGTTAGAGGAAGAAATCAGTTGTAAAGTAGCGAAGCCGTTCGATATTATCGCGTCTACACCCCTCGTGCTGAAGATGGCGGTCAGTCTGTCGCGACAGTTATCTGGCTTGAACAGTTTACAGACGATTATAGGGCCACTAGTTGAGAAGATTATACGGGATCGTGATTTAAATATTGAAACCGGACCCGTTGAGATATATAAGGCGTGGCGAAATGAAACGGAGATGAAGACGGGTCAAATTTCGTAAGTATTCTCTTTCTTTCGCAAATAAACCCTATCGTTGCTTTAGGTATATGGCATTAAAAATACGCGATTTTTTTTTTTTTTATTTTTCCCCCGCTCACTCCCTTTTAAACTTCGTTGTGGTAAAATATTTAATTAGTCATTTCGGTTTTAAACCGTAAATATGATTTGATTTAAAATACTTTGTATATAATTTCGTATTATTTATTAAAGTAATAAATACTTATCGTACGTTGAAACATTAGCATTAATTTTCAACGATAGCTTTATTTACAATTCGATAACCTGGACAGGTATGGAACTGACGGCCACACCAACAGTGCTCCTGCTCTAACAATTGAGTCACTAAAAGATTAATTATTTACTAGCTGTGCCCGCGACTTCGTTCGCGTGGAATAGTGACTTGGGGTAGAATTTTTAATTATTTAGGCTGTTAATTAATTTATGTATGGGCGCATTTAAGGCAGCCAATCTATGTTGTAAGTGCTATTTTACCGCAACACTCTCACCTCACGTCACTCCTACTCTAACGTGTCCCACTTTCATTTGCTTACACGTCACCCCCATTCCTATTCCCAAAGCCGCAGCCATCTAAGGAAAGTAAGTTCACCTTGCGCTTACCTACCGCGCTAACCCAAAAGGCAGCGCGCCGACTTGAAGCCGGCCATCCCACGGGCGGAGGTACCACAGCCCAGTAGGGCAAAAACAAAAACGAGCGAAAACGCCCCCACCATTACGCATCCTATAGGGTTCTCTGCTGAGAACTAACCAGGAGCTACACTTCGAGGTCTTGGAGACACGCCATCCACCGTGCCAAAGCACCACTGTGCCCAAAATCCGCTGACAAAAGGCGACAGTCGCCCGAGCGATAAAACGCTCCCTTTCTGGCCGTTTAGGGTACGCCCATGTAAACCCACCAGATTTGGTCCGCTCCGGCAGCCTAACTGCCGATAACCGTCATTATCTGACGACCATTCCCCTATCCGCCACCTGGGGACGCGCCCGGTGAAAGCTCCCCCACGCAGGGTACTCCGATCCCACAGGATGCCGGGAACTTTCATCCCCTTCTTCAACCCTTTTTTGGCATAAAAAAGTAGCCTATGTCCTTTCTCAGGCTCTAAAAGATATCTGTGTACCAAATTTCATTTAAATCAGTACAGTAGTTTCGGAGTTAAAGTTGGACAGACAGACAAAGTGACTTTCGCATTTATAATATTAGTATAGAGATTTTTTTCTCATTTTCAGAAAACTACCATACACAGTAACTCAAGAAGAGGCCCTCACATATCCCGAGGTGAAGACGCGATTAGAGAAAGCTTTGCAACAATTAAAAAGCGTTGTTGTCATGTTCTTAGATAAAATAACGACGTCAACGGATCTGCTGCCTTTTTGCATTACGTACATGGCTAGAGTACTGCATCGTTCGTTAATAACCAAGTTTCCCCACACACCAGAAAAGGACATTTTGAAGGTTTGTCATTAAATTATAATTCCATTTTCGGCCATACGGCACAAGGCAGACACATTTTGTGCCCTCTTTGACCTTTTTTTTCAGGAAACGAGCCATTTGACCAATGAGTAAAAAAATATAGCCATTACTAATAAGATAAACATTGTAATTAATAAGTTTCTTCATGAAGTCAAAATAAACACACCTTAATGATTAATTTCGTTAATAGATTATTGACAAATAACCTTCTACTGTTTGTACTAGGAAAAAAAAAAAAAAAAACGATATTCCAGTTCTGGGTTCTAATCCAAAAATACAATGTTTGATTTTTTTTGAACAACAAAAGACAGACTTTTTAACATTAAGGGGCAGAAATTCTACGGTCAGGCAGGGTACACATTTTAAAGCAAATGTCACACCATGATCAATGTACATATTACATCTTCTTTCGCCTGTTACGCTAAATGGTTAAACGTATTGCCTATCATTGCGTTACGCGCGAGAAGACCTGATCTAGTCAAACGGAAACAGAAATGTTTTGGTCGGGCAGGGCACAGAATCTGACGCCCCCACCTGCAGTCCGACACGATGTTGACTAATAGTACGGGGTTCATTTCACACACGACACATATATTACATAGTATTTTTGTCTTGTCTGTTTCCTATATAGAGGGTATAGACTTTTTCTTGTTTTTATAGGTTATTGGAAATTTGGTGTATTATCAATTCTTCAATGCCGCCATAGTTGCGCCCGATGCGTTCCACATTATTAACATGGCGAACGGAAGTTGTCTCACCACGGATCAACGGAAGAACCTCGCTTCGATCGCTAAAATATTACACTTTTCTGCGGCAAAGAAAGGGGTAAGCATTCACTTCTGTAGTAATATAATGCGAACTAAAAATATATTACTGACTTATATATTAGACATGATGGCATTATATCAAGTAAAAACATATTTTGATATGTGAGTGTTCAAAAAGCAAACAGTAGCTCAATTGGTTAGGCATGGAACGTTGTAGTTGCCGATTCAAATCCCGCCCGTGTCGTAAAATTAAATTGATTTTTAATTTCTATGAAAAAAAAAAGTAAGGCATTGTTTAAATATCTTTAATATATATAAATTTAATTAAATCGTTTAAAAACACACATATGATATACTCTTTTAACTGTTTAAAACGTAAAATATATTAAATTAAATTGTAAAATTTTCACGTTAATTGTTCAACATTAAATTGTGTCAGGCTTTCACGGCCATCGTTCAGCATATCATTGTTCTTCGGTCTGATCGGCCGTGAGCGAGAAGAGCGTCGTCGACGTTTCCTCATCACGAGCGGACGGCATCACAAAAGGATGTTGTTAGCCCCTCGATTGCTCGTAGAATTATGGAAGCTATAATTGAACAGCCAGAAAAACAATGATATGCTGGTAAAATATTTGTATCTTTGACCATGACTGCCGCAAACCCTCCAATACGTGGGTCGTGTTAAAAATAAATAATTTAGTGCACGTTTTCATCGCTTAAAACAAAAAAAAAAGAAAATGATATCTAAATTCTTATAGAAGTCCAAATATTAGAAGTCCTTGAAGAACATAATACAGAGAAATAATTTTAGACTCTCAAATGTTTAACAGTTTGGAGAAGAGTCAAGTCACCTGCGATGCTTAAATTCCTTCATAGTGGAATGTCACGAGAAGATGAAAGAATTGTTCCGGCGCTGCTGCCGAGGCCCGACGCTCGAGGAGTACTTCGCTGTCGATGAATACACGGAGGCAACTCTACTCCATCATCCACATATCTATATTACTGTCCAGGTTAATTATCTTACACTATCTACATCAAATAAACTCCTATGCCCTGCCCTAATGAAATTATCTATCTATTTCTACGGTCTCGAACCAGGACTTTTTTAATGTAGACAATTTAATAAAGAGGAGATCATCACATATAAATAATTAACAAATAACACGCTTCAAATTACAGGAAATAGTGGACACTCATGCGCTGTTAATAGAATACCAAGACGTGATAGCACCAGACCCTGATGATCGTTTGAATGAGCTTTTGGATGACATGGGTGATGTGCCTAGCGTTGCTCAACTTGCATCAAGGGATGTTGCTACGGTATCTATCAAGTATATTCATGTTAACATAATACAGATTTTAGTATGACAGAAAAAGACGGATAACCATAAGTTGTTAAAAAGTTAAATACCACAAACATCTAAATAAGAAGGGATGTAGACCTATTTTGGTTTTGGATAATCGAAAATCGTGAACGGTCATTCGTGATCCTTTGTAATTTCGATTCTACCGCGCCAACGCAGATTTTTCAGAAAAATTAAATTGATTTTAAGCAATCTCTTAGATCCCCGATTTGGACTTGAATGGACTAACCCACGATCTGTAGATTTAATGCCATATATTGTTACTATAACACTACGAGCCTAAAAGCCCTAACAGGAGTCATACGTTACTATATTTTTTTTTATTACATATTTCTCTAACAATCATTTCCAGATCGGTGACTCTGAAGAAAATGCTCGTTTAGAGGTGTGTTTAGCACTTGTAAATAAATTCCAAGCTCCCGCCGACGATATGACGGATTTGAACAAGCTTTTTATCAAAACGAAGGAGCTGTGTGTCGCCATAATACCTTTCCTAAATGGTGAGTCTAACGGACCTATTGTTTGACTTGAGATAAAAGTTTTAAAAGCCAATTAATTAATAGACAACTTATAAATTAAAAAAATTAAATTTAATAAACTTGAATAAAATTAGTTTCTTTTCTAACTGTTTAGGAGATTTATAGTATTTCCTGTTTTAAATACTGTCCGTAGTTTACGCGAGTGGTACACATTTAAATAACACACTTTAACGGTTTAAAACACGATAGATATTAAACGTCGAATATACAAAACGTTAGGGGTTTAACATAACTATATTTATATTTATCGCTTTTTAAACCGTTAAAGTGTTTTATTTAAATAGTATCTTTGCTTAAATCATATCATCTACTCATAATGTCGAAACGGCACAAACCAATTACGAGTGATGATGAATGATGGCGAGGGCTTTACACAATTTATAACTTAATCTGCAACTGCCTATTAATGCCGTTTCCAGGTGAACATCTCTTGGAAGCAATATGCATCGGCACGACAAAGGAACAACAAGAGAAGTACAACGAAAAGGTACAAAGGCGAATATATTCCGGCCAAGCGAGGCCAGACGAAGCGATGTCTCTTCGGGAGCACATCACAAAACTGCGAAACAATTTACAAATGCTTGAAGACGAAGGATACGTCACGAGAGAAGACGGTTACCAAGCCCTCATAACGTCTATTGCGCTGGATCTATGCAATAAAGGGAAATATAGACAAGCGCAGCGGCGCGCTCTGGCGACGCTAACTCGCACTAAATTGAGCTTAGTGGAGAAAACAAAGTATTACCAAGACAAATGTAAATCATATGATCAGTATATTAAATCGTGTCTTGCTAATCTCCATGCTGGCAAAAGGTATTACTATTTCATATTAAAACTGATTTAAACGGTTTGATACGTCGTTAAGTAATAAATTTTCTTGTATACATCTTGTCACTTACAGTTAAAGAATCTGATTTCTGTAGAGAATCTGATGATCTACAATTTTAGTCTGAACTATTTTTACTGTTAAACCCAAGGTCGGATTAGCTGAAAAACAAAAAAAATCTATTCTTGCAAACTCTCCTCATTATCAATAAAAAAATGCACAAGGGGTGTTTTCACATTTAATTTAACTTAATTATATATACTTTAAATTATTAATTAACTTATTATTTTGTTTCAGGAGTGTACACGCTTGCTTAAGATCCGGTAAAGATAATAAAAAGCTGAAGTCAAAGTTAACGGTGAAATATTCTGGAGCAAAACTTCTGGAACGAGGCATTCTCTTAGAGATAGATGGACTATCGACGTCTCAGTTCAAGAACGTTCAATTCGAAATCACCCCGACTGACCACAACGGTGTTTTCACCATAAAAGGGAAATTTATGGGCGTTGTAATGGAATCTGTTGATATCGACATCCAAGATCTTTTGCAGAAGCAGTATGAGGGTTGTGCGATAATGGACATGTTTGGTAAAGCTAAAATTAATGTTAACTTGTTGATTTTCCTATTGAACAGTAAGTTTTACAAATGAACAGTTTTCATAATATCATTTTTTTAATCTTTAATTGTTTTGGGTGATTATGCGTGTGTCAGGAACTTTAAGAGTTTAAATTCGACCGAAAGATAATAAGTCAACGAAAAAAATATCACAATGTACTTAACGAAATACGAATTTTAACTGCTTCAAACGAATATTTACTTATTTTTAAGTACAACCAGACGATTGCGATTTGCAGTAGTGCTCCAAGTATACTCGGGTCTGAATCGAAATGTCAGAGCGTAGTTCAAAATAAGTTAACTTAAATTTCGCGTTTGAAACCGTTAAGAGTTTTATTTCAATGTCTACTACACGCATAAAATAAGATATTTTTTATATAAGTTTGCAATTTAAATAAAACACTTTAACGGTTTAAAACGCGATATATGTATTCGTTAAACTTATTTAAAAATGATTTTTAACTTCGGCCCGAAGTTATTTTCAAATAACAACAACAATTCAAGTTTAACTAATATATCGCGTTTTAAACCGTTAAAGTGTTTTATTTAATGTGTACTACTCGAGTAAACTGTAGACAGTATTTAAGTTTGTAATTGTTTCGGAGTATGTAAAATTTTCTGTGACATAAAATCTTGTTTGTTTCGGTGTCTGAAATGTACAATATGGAATGTGATACTAATAATTTATTGAAACGTTTGCGCATTGCTTACAGTGTATTAATAAAACGTATGAATTTGTTTTTCAAAAGCCTAGACTGTATGATATTTTAGTCTTTATGTTCTATAAGTTTTAATTGTATTTTTTTTTTACATAACGGATAGTTGAGAGTAAGAAAACACGATATTCAAGACATACTATAAATCACTTGTACCTTTTTATACCAAAAAGTTCTTTTTTGTAACTAATATTTGATGCGTTCTATGTCATGGTGTAAATCAATCAATTATGGACAATGTTACATATAAACTTGAAATGCAGGTTACATTATATGTACACTAATTGTTTTTGTAATGAAGTTATTATATAATAATAAACGAGGCTACTTTTACAAATATTGGTTTCACATAAAAATTTAAGCGTTACGTTTAGTAGCGGTTTACTCTCCTATAAGAAGTCTGATCTCCATAATTACATTTAAAAATTAGTTTTCATTTGGAAAACTTGTGCTGTTAACGTTTCGTTACGTTTAAAACTTTTAAAGCCGCAAAGTTATTTGTGGTGACCTAACGCTGTTCAGTATTCTACCTGATCAGAACCTGATATTTACTCGCCTTCTTTGGTAGGTTATGATAATTCGTTAATTAAAAAGCAAGACCGACCACTTATTACTATAGTCTATATCTATAGCTCTAGCTAGCAAGAGGCTGCTGTGACAGTTAGAGATTTCATTGATGACAATCTGCAACTGTCAAAGTGATTTTGACGCTTGTTATCAACAAGGGATATTTTGAAGAGGTAAAAGATTAGATTAAAGGTATCTTAATAAATCGAAAGAGAAATAAAATGAGTTTACTAAACTCCAATTATAATATAATGTAAGTGTATCAATAATAATGAGACGGGTTACAAAAAAGCTTTTATTTTTAACATTCGGTTTGCTTTGTATTGGACTGTATTGCGAGTTTCTCATTTATTATGTAGTTGTTGCGCAGGTAGGATAATTGATATGAAAATTATATTAACATGTACATGTCCAGATTTCTTCAAAGTTCAAGATGTCAAACGTGCTTATTACTTCTTTCAGTGTAGCTGGCCACAGTTGAAAAAGACTATAGATGGAGAAGTACTTCGGGCGTTCGTTCTAGCTGATACACATTTGTTGGGGCCCTATAGAGGACACTGGTTAGATAAGTTAAGAAGAGAATGGCAAATGCATCAGGCATTTAAAGCCATTATCAATTTACATAAGCCAGATGTTGTTTTTGTTTTAGGTAACTACTTACTACCTTACATTTTGTAATTTTTTATGTTAGACTTAGTATTAGGAGTAGTCGTTACACACAAGTAAGGGGTTTACTTGGATCATTGAATGAAAATCTACAAATTAAACCTAAAACGGAACGTATAGCTTTTCCATTTCTGTTTGTGATTAAAATGTTAATATTCTGCTATCCAAATTTCCATACAAAGTCCTAACATGGTTCAATAAAATTAATAATTTATAAAAAAAACATGTTGGACCACTGGATATTGAACCCACAGTTGATTATCTACTAGTGGGTAACCTATAAATATTTTTGATCAGTGTGACAGTCACACACAAAGATACAATAAACTGTTGTGTATTTCATGCTCTTATTTATTAGCTCTGATAATCAAGCATGATTTTAGGTGACCTTTTTGATGAAGGGGAGTGGACTGATGATAACCAGTTCTTAGAATATGTTACAAGATTTCAAAAGCTTTTTGCAGTACCCCCTGATACCAAGTTTTATGTAGCTGTTGGTAATCATGATATTGGCTTCCATAATAGGTATGGACTTTAAAATGGATAGCAAAGTAAATTCTATTGCATTTATGTATCTATTGACTCTTAAATTGAACATTTAATTTAATGTATTATAGGATAAGAAGAAGAGCATTTCAAAGATTCAGTGAACAGCTAAATGCCCCCTCTGTGCAACACATAGTTTTAAAAAACAATCATTTTGTTCTCATTAATTCTATGGCAATGGAGGGAGATTCTTGTGATATGTGTACAGAAGCTAGAAGACAGATTTCAGCAGTTTCAGGTACCATATAAAAGATAATTATTATTATTGAGTTAGAAGTGTAGTTTGCATCTAACATGCATCACAAAAACTTATGAATTAGAACCCATCTCTCTAGTGATATAAATTCTAAGACCCCTCCAAGTAATTTTCCTTGAATTTAAGCTACTATTGTGCTATATTTTGAACTTATCATTTTCAGATAAATTGTTAAAATGCTCTCAGAACTCTACTTGTGTGGACCGTGGAAGGGTATTTAATTATTCCCAACCAATTTTAATGCAGGTAATCAGTTGATAAAACATCCTCTCATATTAAGATACTTGAGTTTTCGTTCATAAAGATTATCTTTGCTTAGTCGAGGAACCTTGCATAATATCATCCAGTTTAGATGTTGATACGCCTAGAATTGTTTTTCTGTAACCATGGCTGTAAACACAATTAGCAAAATAGCTACTAAAGTCTGATATGTATCTCATTATATTTTCGTTTTATATAATAGATACATTGATTATTTTACTTTCTAGCATTTTCCCCTCTATAGAGTATCAGATTCGATTTGTACTGAACCTGACGCACCTCCTTTACCAGAAAGAAATAAACCGTTTAGGCTAAAAATTGATGCTCTATCAAATGAAGCAACTAAATTTCTCATTAATAAACTCAACCCGAGAGCTGTCTTTGGAGGTCATACTCATCATGGGTGTCTAGTAACACATACCCATGGAAGTGAGAAATTTTTGGAATACTCGGTACCATCGTTCTCTTGGCGAAATAGACTAGATCCAAAGTACTTACTGGTAAGATTTTTTAATGGCTTTTCCAGCTTTTATATATAACTCTTTGTTAATATAAATTTTCTCTTGATTTATGTTCTCATTCTTTTACTTGACATTGCTTCGACAATTTAGCGGCAGTATTTGTTAACTCGCTTAAAGCTTTGGTTCAGAGGTGGAGTGAATTCCCTACCTCATGAAATACTCGGAAACAATTTAAAAATTGAAAAAAAATTCGACTCGGGCAGGACTTGAACCGGCATCATCAGCGTTCCGTGCTGTTGCTCTGTCGGAACGCTGACGATGCCGGTTCAAGTCCTGTCCGAGTCGATTTTTTTTTTCAATTTATTTTCGATTTTTGAATTATATAGTGCCTTCATGTGCAATAACATGTAAAAATTAATAAAGTTTTCAAATACTCGGAAGCATTCATAAATTTTGGGTATTTATGTCCTTGTTATTTTGGTTTCTGCTTTGTAATGTGATCAAACAGTTGAAGTGGAACGTTGTATGAAGAATTAGCGATTATTTTTAATAATACTTCCTAGTTTTTGACTGAGTGGGGTTTCAGCTGCAACTTTTCTGAATAGACTCTATTTTCACTAGGTGCTTAATTGCCTTTAAATATTTACTAATAACTGTTGTATAGGTACAGCCTGCAAACTGGTTGCTCTCAAAAAATTCTTTTATATGCTGCTTCTATTGCTTTTGCTAAAAGTACTTATTGTAATACTTTCTTTACATTCTTGTTTTGCTTTGCGAACTGGTGCTAAGCTAACTTTTAAGGATAATGTTAAGGTGGTACTTGTCAACTTGCAGGTATCTATATCCCCAAATGAATATTCCGTGATCAAATGTGGGCTTCCAAAGGAAATAACGATGATAGCGACGGCTGTGATAATGTCTTTAGTATTAATTTTACTTATATTTACTACAAGGGCTATAGGGAGGTAAAATTACGAAAAGCTGTAGTTTAAATTCATTTTATATTTTGGTAATAAATATTTTGACAAGATTAAGCGCTTTTTACACTGTACATCGTTGACCTGTGTATGCATTTCCAACATCAATGTATGTCACAAGTAGGTATAAAAGACACAATAAATAAAACTTAGTCCTACTGCATTAGAGGTAGATGAAAAAGTTTTTTATGAGATTCCTAACGTAAGAATGAATACTGGTAATGGTAATATAATGTTGTCCATTGTATTAACGGTTCTTTGACATATCAAATTACTAAAACAATTATAAAACTATCACTCTTTCATTGCTTTATTTATACTATCTTGGAGATATCCATGGTGTATTTTCAAATTCTTTGCACATGAATGTCAATTGTCAAAGAACCGTAATTTTTTAAAAGAAATAGTTCAAAATTCCACTAAAACAGGATACATAAAAGCAGCGTTAAGTACACGTTGCACTTCTGACCACAAATATACACTTATCTAACAAAGCACCTAACTCTTAATACTAAAGTCAGTCTCTAACTCTTATGAGTCTTTACATGGGTATGGGGCCGTTCGAGTTCTACATAAACTTTTTAGGGGGTCTTTACTATTTTATGACCTTGGAGGAAGTCATACAGTAGAGGGGATGGGATCTGTTTTTACTTTTGCTGACAAAGGTGGCGGTAGATTAATTTGCTTACGTAATACTGGAACGGCACCTACAAGTGAATTAATCTAATGAGCATTCTCTGCGCCCGATATAGTTCCCACTATAACGATATATACATACAGCGACAAGTAATATTACGACCGTAGACAGTAAGGCACTTTTTCTAAATGCTCTAAAAATAAATAGATCCATTAAACACTACAGCAAAAAGTCTACGCGAATTTCAATAAATATTTATGCATTAAAAGGATGCCTAGCGTTAAACCTATGAAATACAGATCTTATTGTCCGCAAATTAAATAAATACTGATAGAGCTAAGTTACCTAAGGCATGTGGAATGCTGACTTTCCTAACTTAAACATTCTTAAGATGTCAATACCTTCACATCAAAATACCGAGTTTTTCTTTAGCCTACTTTAGTTGGTAACAAAAAGTTTATGGTGTCAATTTTAGCATAAAGGACCTCTTTGCTTTACTAAACATCTCGACATCGAAACATTTTCTTCTCTGTTATAAAATACAAATATGGAAGTAACTTCTTGAATCATTATAATTAACACATATTAATGGACTTGAATTCATTGAAATCCATGTTAAGTTGTTTTTTAATTATTATGCTATTGTTTCGTTACGGTATTAGCAAAGCAAAGAGACGATTTGTCCTTACTTGAAGTCTATAAAAATATAATTTGAAGGACCCTCGGCTGTTGTGACTGTGAGGCAAGGTCATGGGAACGGGATCGAGGGTTAGGTGGGTGTGAAGCACGGGCGTAACGTGATGGAGTGCTCTGTTTCTGATGATAACCACTGTTCGCATGTTTGGCCGAGGAGCATATGACAGCGTGTAAGTACCTATCGTATCTACATAGATTCGAATCACCACCGCTGGCCAAGTCTAAGTATCCGTTGCCGGAGGACTCCGTCTTTGTTTTGTGGTAGTTAGGCTTCTCATTGACGGTGTGGGACCGATTTCTTATCTTGGAGTACTTGTTTACGACTTCCTCTTCAATGGTAACATGTTCGCTGGGTTTTCTGTAAAAGATTACACCAGTTAGTATATTCTTTTGTGATTGAGAGGGACCGACAATGGTGAAATACCTCAAGTTTAAAACAACCTTACAAGATATTCTGTGGAACTATTTTGGCTTAAGACATTTCAGAATTCAATATATGAAATCTTAATGCAGATTAACATTTCACAGCTATTTCTATGCCAATTCAAATTTTTCAGAAGCCAATTTTGTTTTAAAATTATACATGTAATTTTTACAACGTTGGACCTGGTGGGAATTGACCCTCCGTCTTGTTAAATATTGGCCATACATTGCTATCAATTGGACCAATAATTGCCTGTCAAAAATTGATTATGTACTTAAATGTATAGTATTTTAATACATGAACTACAGATATAAATAAATATACCTTGAAGCTTGAAAACTCAGATGATTCTTCTCCATGTTAGCCTGAATGATCTCCAACAGTTCACGCCTCTGTAAACTTCCCGAACGTTTCTTTGTTTTTTTCCGCTCACGGTGTTCTCTACGCGGGTGGCGTTGCGGTCTCTGCCGTAAAATCGGTGGAGGTTTTTGTGGTGGGGGCTTCTGTTCCACGGAGCACGATGATTTTGACGAAGCGTCATCGTCGTGCGATAATCTTTCTTGTTGTTCGTTTTCACTATTGTCTGCGTGCGCATGCGGCGAATTCTGTGCAGACGAGGCTTGTTCCCTTCGTCTTCTTCTCCTGACCTTCTCCCTTTGACTGCGAGACTGGCCGTTCTCGGGTACTACTGTTAATCTTACTTGAATAGTTTTGGAACCGTAGTGCGGCACTGTGACTGACTTGCCTATGGACTCGTAGATTGTGGATACTATCCCAGCTATATCCTGATTAAACATGGGACTTAATTACATATATCAATAAAATCTAATTTGTCAGTAATTTTTTTTGTAAGAACTTTTTTAGTTTAGTTATTATTGTAAGTATAAGGTAAGGTGGGTGATAGGTAGGTAGGTTGGTATATTATGTATTGTAAATAAAAGAGATTCTCTTTCTGTCTTTTCTACATTACACTCACAATATAAATTTGTATACTTACATCTTTTGTCATTCGACCGTGCCCGTCAAGGTCGTAGAGAGTGAATGAAAATTGAAGAGGCTGTTGCTTAGACGATTCTGGATGCTGCAGTTCCACGTCACACGTCAGCTCCTGAAAAGTCAATATGAATTAATTAAAAATTTATTTTTAAAAAAATTGACGACAAGGGCGTACTCAAAATAGCATCCACAGCGTTCCGTGCTGTTGCTCTAACAATTGAGCTACCGTGTCTCACACGTCATCGTCGATATTTTTCAACCTATATGAATCTCTTGCGCAATGTAATTTCAATCTTAAGGGCTAAGCATATTGATGCTGTGCAAGTATTAAAGTTTTCAAATACACATAACAAAAACCGGCCAGAGTTTGTCAGTTTAAAAAAGGGGAGTTAAGTATTTATCTGTGTTTGTTAGTGAACAAATACTGTGCCCTACGCGACCGAAAGTTTTATTTCCTCGATACGAATGTTAGGCACCAGTCGTTAAAGCTATGTTTAAAATGTAGATAACTACGGACGCGGCGCCGAGAAACGGCGTACGTCGGCTGGTGAAGACCGGCGCCCTTATCTTGGACTTTAAAAGGAAACTAGTCGCGCCTTTACGATCTTTGATTATAAGACAAAAGCGTGCCGCTTGCGCAGACTGATAGGACATAAATAGATGATTCATCTCGCATTCTTTATAATGAATGGATATTGTGTTTCAACAAAAAATTTAGTATAATGCCTCTATTTACAGTCCTGTGCAAGTAAAAACTGACTCAGTAGCTCAATGGTTAAACGCCTAGCATTGCGTGCAGTTTAAGAAAACAAAAAAAAGTTTTTTTTTCCAGTTCAGTCAAACAAACTTACATAATAAAATCGATGAGTGAAGCGGGTATATAAACGTGTTTGACCAAGAGTACAAAATTTAATACGAATTTGATTTAGTCGATAAATAAAACGAGTACATATTGATGTAAACAATATTTACCTCGAAGCGCAACCGGGGCTGTTTGTTCTCATTGCATTCATTTTGTACGGGCGATGATACTCTCTTGGAGTAGTTGTCTGATCGCAAGGGCACCGGTGGTGGTGTGGTGGGTTGTAGGAGAGCTCTAGCTTCGCTGGGCAGTAAGTCTGGTGGGGCAGAGCATTGAGAAGCTGCACGACAGACCAATTCTTCAGTATCTGTACGCTCGCTCTCCGTACCGACTGAAAATAATAATACAATATTTATTACTCTATTCTATTATATCGTAATATAAAAAGTTTTGTGTTCAAAGCCAAATGATGTATGAATGTGTATGAGGTATTTCACCTCAAGTTAAACCCTGAAAACTTAGTATCCAAATGCGAAATTTCAAAAAACATCAACAAAGTAAGTTCCCCCGTGACCACGACTGATATAAAGCGTCCCAATAGTTGTACCGTTGTTAAATAAATTTTAAACAAGTTGCCGGATACATTTAGAGTTTTAAACCGTTAAAGTTGTATTTATATGAATAATACATCTGTTTAAATGCAGTTTAAAACCTTTATAAGACTAAGTATAAAAAAACATTAAAAAGTACAGTCAGCATGTTATATTTAACGGTGAACATGGAGGTATCTAAACTTGAGCCGAAATTAGAAAAACAGTCGGGCGAGCACAAACGATTTTTTTGAAGCGAGCGGGCCGAGCACTAAAGACGGCAGGCAGCGGGCTTACAGGGCGGGCTTAGTCGTTTCCTGGAAGGCCTCATGAGCCCGGATCGACGTCGGCCCAATGCCTTAATGCCCGCGTTCGCCAACATCTGCCACTGATTGTTGCTTTCTCGAAATTCCTGGCCATGTACAAATAATGTCGATTCGTGTAATCGGCCCATTTTTTCTATCAATACTAAGTACTAAGTATTGTCTGAAGTCCACGCGAGCAGTACATATTTTAATAAAACGGTTTTAAAGCGACACATATTGATACTTTGATGATATCTACAATTTGAGTTCACCCGTGACCACGATTGCTGCGAAGTATCCGAAACGCCGGTCTATAATTCAAATAAGTTGTCCATAAGTACTTGATTCTGTGATCCATTTCGTGATGTTGCTTTACCGATAAAGTTCCCAAATTTTCTGAAATCTACATAACGTATCAAATCATTTTAAACTCCTGTGTGCCTCAAATTCACCTTTTTTTTTATAAAAGTATAAGTAAATAAAGTTCACTTCATGTAAGACGATATCCCCACTAAATAATGCCTATTTTGGCTTTAGATTACCAGAAATTTATGACCTAAATAGCAACGCTATTAAACTTGGCTCGGACAACGGTACGATATTCCTTCCACCTTTTAATATCCCGATATACCATATGAGATCTTAGACGTAGTAGAAATCGAACCCACGGCTGTTTATCAGCTATACCTACATCGGTCTATTCGTGCCAGCGAGCCTGTTTCTAAGAACTTAAATTACTAGCTAAACTTTATGTAAGTATTTAGCACTGATAAGATTAGATCGTTTATAGTATTGTATTTCAAGACATGAATGAATGGCTTTATCAGTAACGTTACTCCGTTGCGACGTTTGCGAGTACTCATTATTCTATTGTTTCGTTACTCACTTGTGGCGCTCTGATTTTTTAATTAGCGGTCGTGACTTGACATGAGTTACGTCTCATAATATGCACAGTGCATACACGAAAGACGATCTCCATAGCACAACCGTAGTCGCGATGTGTATTGCGGTTCTAGGTTCGAATATTGGGAAAACAAATTAGGTGATTTGATGAACTTACTAGCTTGTAAATAAATAAGTAAACCGATATAGGAGTGTTTTTATCCAATATCCCACAGGGACACAATAATTTAACTTATTCGTGGAAGTATTTTGAAGGACCTTTTTATTTTAGTATTTTTTACACCTAGTAAAACTGTTTTCTATACGTTGCCTTATATAGGATGATAAGGTTGTCAATAATTATATGTTAGACAAAGTACGGTTTTTCTTCTTTAATTTATATAGCGTATAACTAGCGATAAACTCGCTATATCGAATGATACGCTATAAAAGTTAATTTTTACCAAATTTAAAAAATAAATTAATTTTTGACAAATCGAAAAAATCTGACAACAATATAGTTCATATCCTCATTAACCTCATTACAAAATTGATGAGAGATGGCGTAGCTATAACATACGATATTTTACATATAATATGAAATATATGCTTGTGGTTTGGTTGTAATGTTTGTTGTACCACTGTTTATAATGTTGACGTATAATACGCATAGCCACCATTTCTTTGGTTAAAGTATAAATTAGTAAAATTTCACAGCGTTCATATTTGATTAGTTATATAGTACGCAGATTCGAAATATAGTACAACATAGTTGTCAACCCTATGTGTAATATAACATTAATAAGTAATGAATAAAATAAGTGTTATAGCCGTCGTTATTTATTCCCATATAAACATTTTATTGGTATAAATAGCGCGAGATTTACGATGGCCCTCGGTAAGTTCTTCGTAAAGAGACAATAACCGTTCGCTAAGGGCACGTTAAAATTATGCAACAAAAGCCCAACATCTCTGAAAAAGTGCTTTGTGTCTGCCGCTTAGTATAAATTGTGGCGGGCTATACGTTCACGAATATTAGGGTTCCGTATCGAATGTAAGTCACCTTAAAAGAGACCCTTAATAAGACTTCGTTGTCTGTTTGTCTGTCACCAGAATACCTATATCTCAAGTACCGCGATAGCTAGAGAGATGAAATTTCACTAATTGTGTTGCCAATATACAATAATAAAACAATATATAAAACAAACAGATTTATCAAATAACTAAATTGTTTACTAACTTTAACACTTACAATAACCTCAAAAGCACAATATGCAATTAGTGATGTTAATGAACCCTTATGCGACATCCCGGCTCACACTTGGCCGTTTTTATTTTATATTCTAAAAGAAAAGTTTAAAGCGTGTGGCGGGGAATTCTTTGATGTCAAATAAAAGGTATCATTGTCTCCGCTTCGGCGAGTGCTTTTAACTTTTCCCTTTGAAGTTAATCAAATGAGCGCGGCTCAGTTTGAATTTAAAACTATATTACTTCAAGGGTTCGTGCGAGAGAATGAAAACCGTATCGTCTTTTAATTGAAATATGTATAGCGACGCATATACAACATCAAAAGGATATCAAATCACTTTGATCTAATAGACTATGCGTTTCGAAAGCGGAAGTTTCATTATTTTTTATCTCCAACCGTATTATTTACTATTCACTAAAGCGTTGCTCACTGTGTACTCGTGGTGGAGTATAAAAAGATCAAAGCAGATCTAGCTTCTAATGCCGTAAGAACGAGATGAAATGATAATCTTTAAGATTATAATATTAGGAACATCTAATTCCGTAAGAGGTTTTATACTCTAAATGATCTGGAATTCCGTAATGTAACAAGAGATAACCTAAGCTGTTTATTGTGAAGGTCCATATAGACATCACAAATGGTTCATTCGTGTTTTTAATAAAATCGACAAACGTATACTAATGTACCACGTATAAACTGTTTTTAACCGAACTAACACTCAAATAAGACGTAAAAGGTAGTTATTTTGTCTGACAAATAGATATTATCGAATGAATTAGTCTACATAATACTGTGGCTATTTATATCTTTCGTACTGAAACAGCTGATGTATACGACATGTAAATAAACACCACTTGCGTTGATTCGATTAAAAAAAATCACATGCAACTCGTGTATCGGTTGGCTTCACACGGTCAAAGTGGCCCTTTTGGCTTTAAGTAGATTTTATACCTCAAGTATGCGGTCATTCCAAGTGAATATTTAGCTGCGAATGGCATAGCACGAACGATAGTATTTCTGAGGTGAGACACGCGACCCCGCCAGTTAAATTCCAGCTAAACACTGTAAGCTACACGATCTGATACTCACTGCTAAATTTTTTATATCCATTCCTGAACTTATTGCGCCACCACTTGACGAAGTGGTGCGCCATGGGGGCGTCCGCGGCGGGTGCCGAAGCTCTCAACGTTTCGTAGCACGTCATGCGCTCACGCACACATCACGTACACATCAAAGGCGCCGCCGTCATACAACACAGAATCGACGACGACCACGACCATTCACAGCACTGAGCAAATGCGATTTCCTTGTCACCACGTAAACAGACCTTGTGACCCAGTTGTACGCGTGAATGTGTGACACCCGCGCCGAGAACGCGACCGTCCCTCGCGGCGTTTGAGCAGTGACTGATGGATGGATGGAAGAAGGGAAGGGGAACGAAATAGCGCGGGCAGGCGCGCTGCGAACGCTCGTCGCGGTTCCGTACCCGTGATTGCTTCTAGTGTATTGTGTTTAACTGATTTGCCGACTGCCGATGCGATTGGAAGGGACTGTTAATGCAATTCATCTATATTGAAACGTTTACATGTCAAAAGGACTCTGACTAAATTCAGCGAAAACGAATACTTATGTAGTATGTATGTCTAAATATGAGTCTAACGTAATACCGCATCGGTCAAGTAGTCACATGCAAAGTTGCAAATGCGAGATTGCATTAGGCTTCGAAATTCTGAACCGTCGCTGCAAATATTTGATTCGCATTTTACCATTCGGACGACTTACATTTCTAACTTTTCGTGGAATTTCTCGCAATATTCTTGATCTCGTATCGTAGGTACATACCTATTTAAGGTACGTAAAGTACATATTTTTGTTATAATTGCCTTATTACAAGATTGAAAATAAGAATTGCTACACAGAAATATTGTCTGTAGTTTACGAGTAGACATTTAAATAAAACACTTTTAACGGTTTATAACTCAAACTATTTTAATTTGCTGCTGTAAGGCATTCAAAACTTCGTTAAAAATAAATTAACGAATATATTTAGTTTTAAACCGTTTAAAGGGTTTTTGCTGAATATATAGCTTACGTCAAATTCGTGAGTAGATGCAGAAAATTGTGTTGACCTTCGTTGTGTAGGTACCTACTTACCTTTTTAAAAATGGCTATCAAATGATCTTAGTCCATGAAACGTCTTTCTAGGCCAAAGAAAGTATAATTATGTATAGGGCAGAGATAGAGAGGGCGTACGCGCATAGGTCCGCTACACCAGCCTCCGTGCGGTCGACGACCCAGGTAGGACCATTATAAAAAAGATTATATTGTAGGCAGCACATGGTCAAAAGCGTATAAAACTATTCTCCATAAACGCAGCGATAAGATACAGAATTTAATAAAATAATTATATTATTATACTTAATATAGTATGCGTTGAAGTATTTGGTAAACACGTTTAGCTATTTCGCGTTTTAAACCGTTAAAGTCTATTCACATGTCCAGACACACAGTATTTAAGACGTTGAAATTTGTCCAACGATTAATAAATATAGTAGTAAGGATTTTAGAATTATTTTTCCATGTCTGCTATCGAGCAACACGATAAATGTTTATTACCCGTACAAATTAACGTAATTTTTGTCGATATTACAAAATTATTACAATATGAAGTTTATACACCTAATCAATGATACAGAACCCCGCCTGTAAGAGTCAACTCGTGCTTGACCTTTCGTCTTCATTATTTTCAAATATTTAAATTATGTATAAGCTTTTTAGCGAATGTTTTAATTAGCTTTAAACCGTTAAAAGTGTTTTATTTAAATGCATGCTCTCGCGTCTCGCGTAAATTACAGACAAGAGATAAAACAATTTTGGGTGAATCCATACGTAGAACAAAAATTGTGAGTCCATTTTTACTCAAAATATAACTGTTCACAAATGTATACCTACTTCAAAACTTTAAAATGGTACACTATATAACTTGTGTAAGTTACATAACAGCAAAGCAGCGATTTCGCCCATTTCAACTCAAGAAGTCAAATATTAATTAAATCCCAGTTGGTCCAAGCCGAACCTCCGCGTAGATTCAGGTAGCAGTTACCTTATTTACAAGTGTGAGAAAACAGTAAACACATTTAACAAATCTAGTCTTCAGCTAATCGCTGGGGCAAACAGACCATGTTTTAGAAGCATGTAACAAAGAATCGTGAATCGTATTAAGTGATTAGTAAGCGTGGATTACGAAGCTTCGTAATCTGATTAAACGGTATTAAACGAGGGTTATAATCTGGAATGCTTAGCATGTGATTATCAAAAGATTCTTAAGAGAACGTTTTAGAGGAATTTAAAATAAACTAAGTTGCTAAATACGGGTTGCATATGAGGGTAGATATAAGGTAAACTACAATAGTTTGACGACGATATATCGAGTTTACCCGAGAAGTACACATTTAAATAAAACATTTTTGACGGTTTAAAACACGAAATATATTAGTCGCCTTATTTACTACTTTTGTTGTTGAAAAAAACTATATCTTGTATGGAAGCAGCATTAAACACCGTCTTGGTGACAGACAGACACACAGCGAAATCTTTTTTATTCTTTTACGACCAACAGAAAAAAATAAGCCGATGTTTGTTGTAAGCCATTTCTGGACTGCTCCTCACCTCGGCCGCAGATAAATCGTCGACAATAAACCTAACACGAAGAGATCGTAAAATTCTAATTTGAAAGCAAGCGTGGCGTCTTTTCGTTAACTGAGGCGTCGGGGCGCCTCCCCCACGTCCACGAGGAATTTAATACTTTATAGTTAATACACTAAAGAGTACTAATTTACTTCAATCATTTTTTAAAAAACCACGAAATAAAATCGAAACAAAGACCAACGTTGATTCTCCTATAGTCATAAAATTGCAATTTGATAAACATTTAATCTTTTTTAGCAAGAAGGTTAAACTAGCATGTGGTCCACTTGCTAGAAGATGAAATACCACAATCATATAACATGTTTAAAGTTGCGCTATTGATCTAATCTGACTATTGGGCCCACACTGTGAGGATCCGCGTTATGTCCAGACGAAGTCCACCGTATATATATAATAGAGAAGGATCATACATAAATGTTAGAGTAAGAAGGAAGGGTTCGCTTGATGGTGATGTCACCACTGATTGGGTATTTACCCCAGCAATAAAACATCTAAACAAGATGCGCCGTCGCTTCCTTCACGGCTTTCCGATCTGTGGACTGTAGAGATTGGTTCCTGACTCGGACGGAATATCGAGAAAAATCCAGATTTTCAGTAATTTTTCTGAATGAAATTTATTATAATTAAATTGATTTGAAACATGTCGAATAAGTGTGGTTCGGACCTACAAGACGTTAGTTATTAGCTTGCCTTGTGGAGTGGTGGAAATATTCAAATAATTTTCGTCTTGGGTGGCCTTTTCGAGCAAAAGTGTCGGCTGCCGACCCGCTCACAGCCGATAAACATCCGCGGGTACTCAGTTTTCATCAATCGCATTCAACGCGCATTGCCGTGAGCTATTGTAATTAGATACGTCACATACATCTGTCGACGGTCCTCGCTTTAGAATTTAGATGATCGCGAGACTTGCCCACTCGCATGGGTACGCACATTCTTGAAATATGCGCGATATGTTGCGTTTCATATTGAAAAATTTACCGCACGTTAAATTCGAAGAGGTCGAATTCTAATGCCAACTTTACTTTGTAACTTTCAAACTATATTAACGAGGCTGGCTTTGCTTGTTTTGTCTATAGTTTACGCGAGTAGAACACATTTGATTTAAACTGTGTACAACTTTTACCGGTTTAAAACGTGAGTTATATTAGCTAACAGATTAAACTACGACGTTTCGGATATTTCACAGTAGTCGTCGCACGACGATGTCACAGTGTTACTATATACATTTCGAGTTTTGAACCGTAAATAGTGTTTTATTTAAACCAAAAGATTTTTATTGTCTAGATATATGTTATATTTAAAACTCGTCGGAATTAAAAGCTATTATTATTAGTATTTAATGTAATATAGTTCAGAATGTGACTTTTGAAAAATGGTTATTTTCAACTTTACAGCGAGGAATAACTGCGCGGGTTTGTAGCGCTAAGAAGTTTATCAAATAAAATTCTCTGAGAAATCTGCAAGGTTCAAGTCCTATCATAAAATTTTATCAATCTAAAAATATATATATATATATGTATAAATATTAATTTGTCACATATGTGACAAATATTAAAGTTTCGAAAGTTTTTTTATCACTAATTGTTCTATCCAGATTCAAACACGAGAGTAATAATTATCGAGTCAATTTATTAAATTATTTAAAAAATCAGCTTGAGTGGGCAGAGCCCACGCAAGTAGAACGACCGCAGCAGCTGGCCGAACGCCAGATAACTGAATAGCAGAAATAAAACGCTAAACTATCAACATTCCAGGCCAATTCATACGATTATCTTTTTGTTTCTAATATTATTATTATTGTTTATAATAAACGGATACAGACAAGCATAGGCTTCACATGATGGTAGAGGGAAATACCCCAGCCTTCAGCACCTATTTCGGCTTTGGATTTTCGGTTTCCATTAAACCGAAACGCGATCAAACTTCACGTGTTCATCGGTGGACAGTGCTTTGAAACCCCGACGAAATTTATCATCACTCTTTATAAAATTAGCTGATAAATTATCACATAACAGTAGCTCACACGTTTTGTAAACATTTTTGTTATGCAGAAGTCATAGTTTAGTTACTAAATAAAATTTCATACAAAGAACAAGCCTGATAGTCGAATCGTTTTAATCCCGTTTCCCCGTTTGGGCCATGGAGCAAACACATAATGATCGTTTCAGGAAACAGACAAGTTGATTAAGCTTATGTGCCTTGTCCGATCGAAAAATGTTTGCCCAAAATTCAAACCCAGTTCTCCAACAAGTTGAACCATCGAGCTAAGTCGACGGTTAATTATCACAAGCATTACTCAATGTAGAATTAGTTTTAAAAAGCTTTGATCAGATCACAAAGTTGGTTATCTAACTTACGAAAGTAAATGCCAGTTGTAAACAAGCACGAACTAACTTAATCCGAAATATTGTAAATATCTATTCCCTCAGGTAATTTTTTTATCTATACCTACTAATATTATGCTAATCTAATCTAATCTAAGAAATCTACTTGTAC